GTTATTATATTATTTGCAGTATTACCAATGGTTGACCTTTTTGATGGTCCATGGGTTGATTCTTCAATGGTTTCATTCCCAATAGTGTCTCTCTCTTTTTTAACCTTTTCGTGGTGTTCTTTTTAGTTTTTAATTTTCCCCTTGATGTTTTTTCTTTTATTAATTGAATGAGTTTTAGTTTTCGATGCTATTTCTTTGATATCTTTCATTTCAATCTCTTTTTTGACAGTAATGGTAGTTTCTTTATGGTGGTCTTTCCTTTCTTTATATTCTTTATCTTTATGTTGTTCTTTTTGTGGTGTAGGTGGTGATTGTGCTGCATGTGGTATTGGTGTTTCTATTTCTTTTTTCATTCTAGGTGTTAAATCTTTTGATACAGGTGGGGGAGTGGTTGGTGTTGGAGTGGTGATTAATGGTGAGGTTGTGGTTGAGGATTTCTTTTTATGAGGCTGTAATAATGAGGTTTCTTCTAATACTGGGGAGGTTGAGGCACTTGAACTTGAAGTATCATTGATTTTTCTAGTTGCAGTTGTTTTTAATTTCTTTACAACTCTTGAGTCACTGCTAGCAGAGTCATCTGATGTTTGATCTTCGTTGAAATGATCTCTATATGCCCTTTTTTTTAGTGTCTCTATAAATGCCTTTTTCGAAAATATGCAAAGTGTTTTATTATAATCTAAATCTTTATCATAAAAAATTCCATGCACCCTTGTTGGTTCAGTCGAAGGAGGTGGTGTTTGACCCTGTAATATATCTTTTCTTTTTAATCTTGTTGTCACAGCTAAAACGTCACCTAGTTTAGGTTCATCATTCTTTTCATTATAGCTATTGCTATTACTATTTACAATTGATGATGACCCAAAATTACTGCTTTCTTTAATTGACCCTAAATATTCTTCTAATGATGAGTTTTTTAAAAATACCCTAGAGAAATAGTTAATTAATATCATATATATAAAAATAGTTAATTATAAACATTTAAACAAATCAATGTAACCCTTACTTTTCAAAATCGACTAAATAATCTAAATATCTTTTCTTTAATTCAGATGACTTAACTTCAAAAACTAAACAAAGTTCATTCCAATTCTCTTGTTTCATTCTTAAATAACCGCCCTGTGCTGAAACTAAATTGTAGAATTTGAAAAAACTAAATGTATTTAATGATTTTTTTTTAAAGTTTATAAATAATCTAAAAATGATAACGAAAAAAATATAGTTAGTAAATTTAAAAGAGTGGTAATATAATGTATTTGTAATATAGTAGGGCCATACCCATTTACACTGTAAAATTCTGATAATTGGTTTCTAAATAGCTTTTCCTCCATTTCCAATTCTTCTTTTTGGGTCAATGTTGTAGTTGTGTTTGGGGTACTATTTTGTTCGTTATTGGTTTTATTGGCATTGCTATTATTATCTTTATTATCTTTGTTGTTGGTGTTGGTTTCTTTTTTGTCATTTGAAGAGGAGGAAGATTTTTTATTTTCTTTATCACTATTATCCTCTTTAATTGTTTTATGTTCAATTACATTTTCTTTATTTTCATTTTTATTATTTGTGGTTGAGGTTGATGTTTGTTTGGGGGGATGATGATGGTGGTGATTGTGGTGATGGTGATGTGGTTTATCTTTAGATTTATGTATTGCCGTATTTCTATTTATATTGGTTTCAGAGTTTGAGTTACTTTCTATATCAACTGTTATTTCTTTCTCTTGTTGTTCTCTTTGTACCTGTTGTTTTTGATGATCATTGGCTTTTAAATCATCACTCATTCTCTAAAAATATAATAGTAATAATAGATATGCTATTTTATTATTATTTTTAGAGAAGTATTGCTATTTATTAGGTATATGGGGAGGTGTTTATATATTATTACACATAAAAAATTTTTTTTTTTTTTTTTTTTTTTAAAAATTATTTGGAAAAAAAAAAAAATAAAACAAAATTTTATTTTTAATGATGTGGCTTTTGGAGGGTTTTAAAAAAACAAAAACAAAAATAAATATAAATAAATAAATAAAAGAAAAATAAATATTATTGTTTAGGGTTTATTAAAATAAATAGTTTTACAAAATGAAAAATTTTTTAAAAAAAAAATAAAAATTAAAAATTAAAAATAAAAATAAAAATAAAATAAAATAAAATTCAAAAAAAATAAAAAAAATAACTGTTTTTTTTTTTTTTTTTTAATTTACAAATAAGTAATGTATCTTTTTTTATAGATATCTAAATATAGTTATAGGATTTATTTAATTATGAATCATTCTTTCAACCCACACACTGTTGTTTATTTATAAATTACCAAAAATGAACAATTGATTTTACATTATATTTCGGTCATAAGGAAGTATAATAAAGATCAAGTTCAAGTAATCAAGCATAAGCCAATCATAGTGTAATCTTTAGCATTTGGTTTTGTTAGTGGGTGGTTAAATATTATCAAAAATTAAAATCATCAAATTACAAAATATACAACACTACAAAAAAAAAAAAAGAAATAAATTTTAAAGTTTTTTAATAAAATAATAAAGTTTATTAAATTATCTTTATTTATTATAAAAATTTTAATTATTACATTTATAACTTTTTTGTTATAATAATAAAATATAAATAGTATTTAAAATTTTTATTTATAAATAATTAAATATTTTGGAATGACTTGGTCGGTCGAGTAAACAACTAATTCATCATGCTTTAAACCTGTTTCAGCAATTATAGAGTCGTAACCAGGTGATGGACTTAATATACTTGATGAACTGATTGAAAGTTTTTCAACTTCCCCAACTAAAACATTATTAAGGAACATGTATTTGTAGGGATTGGTGTTAAATGAACCACAGTAGTCATTGCTCTTGGAAGAGGCACTGGATAGGTATATCCCAGCACCAAATAATTGGTATGGACTGTTTGTAGGGGTAGGCAGCTTATAGGATTCGTTTATAATTCGGCAAACATAGCAAATCGTGGAGTTACAGGTGGAATAAACTCCGTTTATACCTAAAAAGCAGTTGATTCTAGTCCCATGAAATCTTCTGTTTTCATTACCAGGGGTCATTAATTGTCCACGATGATTGTATTTTGATGAAAAGTAACCTTTTTTTTCAAGTTGTTTTTTTTTATATTCATATTTTTCTTTGATACTACGAGGTATATTTATCTCTAGAATTGTTATTTCTTTGGGAACTGGTTTATTATCTTGATGTTTCCACTTTTTTTGAAATTGGGTTTTGATGCTATTGAACACATCATTTCGGGTAAGTGGGGAAACTAGTGGTTTTATAGTATTCTTCCTATTTTCAGGACCTTTTTTATATGTAACTGATTCACCAAAAACATTTTTAAGGCAAAATTTAATTGAATTTTGCCAAAATTGTATATTGAAAAATTTTGAAGAAATTATAACTATAAGAATAATTAATACCACATATAAAAACATTTTAAATTTTTAGAAACAGATATTAATGTAAAAAATAATAATAATTTTAGTTGGTGTAAAAATTTAAAAATATTTTAAAAATAATCACAATTTATATTTTTTATTAAGTATATTTTTTTTAAACTTAAAAAATTTACAAAAAGATTGGGATCAAGTATTTCGAAAAAAAAAAAAAAGTATAAGTATATTTAATACTTAAATATACTTGCGCATAAGTATTTTTTTTTTTTTTTTATAAATCCAATTTTTTATTTTTTTATTTTTTTTTATTATTTTTTTTAGATATAATAAAATGTATAATAATAAAAAAAATATATATAAATGTGGAAACCCCAATTGTAACAAAAAAAAGAATTATCAATATGATTATTGTTCAAAAACTTGTTTTAATAATTTTAAAATTTTAAAAAAACAAGAAAAAAATAATAATAATATTAATAATAATGACGATCCAAAAAATAATTTTATATATATTATATATGATCAGATTCATTCAGTTCCTTCAAGCATATACAATTTTATTACCAAATTATTTCAAACAAATATTACAGATTCGATATCATATAAGGAAAAAAATAAATTGCAAAACTTTGTTTGGATAAAAACTTCACCATTATCGGGAAAAGATTTTGATGTTTATAATAACTTAAAATCTGAATATAATATAATCATTGTATCTAACATAGACTCTTTGCAACTATTTGACAATATAAATGAAAATGTTTCTTTTATTTTGTGTAATGAAATGGATAATAGACTATATCATTATAAAAAAACAGTGTATGTTTTAGAAAATCTAAATCAAGAAAACAATAGAAAACAATTTAATATAGAATTTAGAACCCACGAAAGTTTTTTAAGAGATATTTATTCCACCTTAGAAACAAAAAAAGAAATCAGTATTCCAATAAACAAAATAAAAGAAATCAGTATTCCAATAAACAAAATAAATAAAATCAAATTCTTTAACAATGGCGATCCATATTACGAATTTACCAATTTTTATGAAGCATGTTTCAATCTTGATGGATTGTATTGGAAAACATCAGAACACTATTATCAAGCCCAAAAATTTTCACCAAACAAAGCTATAATGGAACAAGTGCGTCATTTGCCAAACCCAAGAGAAGCTTTTAAATTCGGTAACTTTAAAGGCCACAAGCATTTTATTAGAAAAGATTGGCACGATATTAAAGAAGAAATTATGGAAAAGGCTATACGAGCTAAGTTTGAACAAAATTCAAAATTACAAAACTTACTCTTTAAAACAAAAGGTTCAGAGTTGATCGAAAATAGTCCCTTTGATGATTATTGGGGCATAGGAATTAACAATAACGGGCAAAATAGATTGGGTGTAATCTTAATGAAAGTAAGAGATTCATTGTAACCCGAAACCATATTATAAATAAAATTCTATTTAGTTTTTTTTATTTTTTTAAATTTAATAACAATATTTTTTATTTTATTTTATATTTTATAATAATTTTATATTTTTAAAATATTAAAAAATTTAAATATATGATTATAATTATTCATAAATAATTAAATAGGCTGGTACAACCTGATCAACTGAATATATAATTAGTTCATCAAAACCAAGCTTTGTACCTATTTCACCAAGAACTGAGTCATATCCAAAAGATGGTTCGGTAAATCCTGTTTTCCTATTTGATAATCTCTCCCCAGTGCCTATTAAAACATCACAAACAAACATATACTTGTATGGATTTGAGTTTAACGATGAACAAAATTTATTGGCAATGGATGAAATACCTGAAAAATAGATACCGGCACCAAATCTTTGGTAATGTTTTAAATTTGATTGTGAGGGTAACTTGAAAGACTCGGTAATGATTCTACAAACAGAGCAATCTGGAGAATTGCAAACAATATTATTTTTGATACCTAGTGAACAGTTAATTTTTGTGCCATGGAATCTTCTTTGTTGGTTACCTGGCGACATTAATTTGCCACAATGATTCTTTTTAGAATGGTAATTTCCTAACATTTCTAAATTATCTCTTTTTTTTATAAATCTAAAAAGAACATCATTAACTGGTTTTACTTCTAAAATCTTGAATATTTTATTAACTTTGGGAAATGAATGTTTCCACTTTGCATTAAATAAAGTTTCAATTTCTATTCTTTCTCTTGTGTTTGCTTCTGATAAATATAATTTATTTTCATATTCAAAACGATGACCTTCACTACAAAAATTGGTACCTTCTATTGGCAAGCTATAACATGACCATAGTTTACATTTAATTTCTTCAAATTCTTCTTGATGGACAATATTGCAAAAGTTATAGCCTGGGAATGCTGCTTTTGGACAGCCTATTAAACAACATTGTTTGACATTAGCTTGATTTTGTGTATTTATTATATTCATATTAATTATTTTATTATTTCTTTTATATCACTTTTTTTTTTTTTGTATTAATAAAATAAAAATGAAAAAATTTGAATCAATATAATTTTGGGTGCTATAAATAGAAAAAAAAAAAAAAAATTAAAAATTAAATAATTTAAAAAAAAAGTAAGGCGACTTAAAAATTTTAATGGTGGGGTTAAATAAAAATTGGGTGACAGTGTCTACCCCAGTCAAATATTTAAATTGTTCACATAAATATAATTTAACACTTTAATTATAATTTTTTTTTTAATGAACTTAATTACACATTTAAAATTTTAAATGATTAAACCTGGTTTTACTTTTATTAATAATCACTATAATGTTCTGAAGATGCACCACTGACACTATCTTCATAATATGAATCATCTTTTTCTAATGATACAATAATATTTTTATTTGAATGTGATATTGGAATTTTCATTGATGGATCAGCTAATTGGATAGAAGGTTGGATTGGTCCTTTTTCTAAAATAATTTGTTTTTCTTGTTGTAATGGCTGCTCTATATTAATGTTCATATTATTATTATTATCATTAATATTTTCTTCAACAAAAATTTGTTGTACTGGTTGGTTACCACCTTGGAAAAGTACAGAATAGTCACCAATAATTTCTAATTGTGTTGAAAATGCATTTTCTGGTAAACAACCCAATTTTTCTTGTTGCACTTTAGAAATGTATTCTCTTCTTATGTTTTGGTTTTCACCAAAAATTGTTCTTTCCTCGACAATTGGCTCTGATATAGTTGGTGGGATATAGTTTGAAAGGAATTCTTGTTTACTCATAACTGATGGTAATAAAATTTCTGTATCTGTTTGACTTGAAACTGAATAAGGTGGCTTTCTGTATGCTGAAATAACCAATACCGATTTAGTTGTACGTTTTTCTTTTTTCTTTTTGGCTGGATCTGCTTTTGTTAAATAATAACCCCATGAACCTGAATGTGAAAATACATGCTCTGTCCAAGTATTTAATTTAGTTTCTTCCATTTCTTTAACCATTTTTTCGACATTGCTAACTTTGGAGCTTTCACGATATATATTAGATGGGTCACAACGAATTTCGTTGTCTTTAAGATGGTATCCCATTAAATGAACTTTAATGATATCGTTCCAAAGTGAAAGTGTAGCACTGTTGACATCATTGGTTCTTCTACGTAAGCAAATGGTATCGGCAAAACCTTTCTTTGAGTGCTTGATAATAATCTTTAAGTGAACACCAATTTCGATTAAGATATCTGATAAAATACACTCTGGTCTTAAAAGTTGTTCCTCTTTGACTGCCTCCAAATATCTTTCATAAGTTTTAAATTGATATTTCTTTAAAATATTTAGTTTTAAAAGATTGAGTTTAATCTTTTCAATTGAAAGCTTATCCCTCCAATTTGATCCATTTCTAAAGTGGAATTGTTCTTCAGCTAAATCTGAAATGATGGATAGTGATAAAAGACCAACTTTACTTTGGGTTTCGATGTATGATGGCTTTTTATCATCTAATGTTAACTTGGAGACCATTGTATCTAAAAGGCTAAGCTTGGCTCTAAAGTCGAAAACTTTATAGAAATGATAAAGTGTTGAAGGTGTTTGAATTAAGTTTGGACTATGAATGATAACATCAGACTCAATATTTAATTTTGATAAATGTGGTTCTGTTTGATCCAATGAACGGTGAATTTCGATATTACCTAAAGTCATCTTATTCCAACCTGATTTTTCTTTTGGCTTATAGTCATATACAACAATATTTCTTTGATTTGGGAAACGTGATTTTAATTTCCTTGCTATGGCATTAGCATAATTGACGAGATCTTTTTCTTTTGGTTTCGAAACAACAAATCTACCTGTGACTTGAATAATTGGAACATATTTTTCTTCAACGATGGGTGAACGTGGTGATAAATGAATTCCTCTTGCATCTTCCTTTTTAAGAATAATTTGATCTTTAACAAAAGAGGCTGGTTCTGCATAAGTTGAAATATACTCGACAGACATTGGGGATAAACGGCTTAACCAATTAGTATAATCCTCTTCACTTTTAGTTTTAAAGAACCAAGTTGTATCTGGAGTGACTAATTGGAAAACTCTGGAATAACTTTGCTTTTCAGTTCCAAATTGGTTGCCTCTTGTTAGTGAAAATCTACGTAAATCTAAAACTTTATATGGTTTACCAATACGTTTACCATCTGATGATTCACATTGATGTAATACCTTATGGTCCATTGATAATTCGAAATAAAGCTTTTTATATGAACCAGATGGTTTAAATTTGGCTTCTAAGTGGCCGCCAAAAGTACCACTAGATTCGGTGCTAATAGCAACAGGTCCCATACTCCTACGCTCACCTGCACCAGTTGAAATACCAATGGATGGATTAATACTATGGAGTGAAAATTGTTGTTTAACTTGACCTAATGCTTCGTGTAATAACGCATAAGTTTCTGCACCAACATTTTTATCGGTTTTGCTTTTTGAGAACTCTAATTCAATATCCAAATGGTGAATTTTAAGATTAAATTGGATTGGGTCGTTATTAAAATCACTAAGTGTAAAGAATGAATCCAATTGAAGTGATTGTTCTGGGAAAAGTGATTTTGGTGTCTTGAAAAATGATAAAAGACCAAGCTGTCTAAATAGAACTACATATTTTTCTTTTTTATTGACCATTGACATTAATGAAATGTCTCCATTAGTGGTTACTGCCATTGATGGTGGAATAACTTGATTACCCCCATTACCTGATGGAATTTGATATTTTAATGCTCTTAATAAATTCTTATGAGTTCTATAGTAAACAAGAGAAGCCTTTTCAAAAGTATTGATTGGGAATATTTCTTTTTCAATGTTGAAACTTTTACCGACTAATAATACATGGATACCGTGATGATAAGCTGCATTTAAAAACTCTTTACTTCGAATATATTCTGATGCTGGATAGAGTAATTCATCTTTAACAAAGTTGCTATCTAAATATACAATTGTTTTACATCTGAAATCTTGCAAGAGGCTTCTACCATCAACCTTAATATGTGACATATTAAAACCTTTATAGAGTGAACTATTCCATATATTCAAACTGAGACCCATTTCAAAAGCCAACATTTTCCACTGTGTAATTTCGTCGTACTCACTCATATTGTTTACTACCAATAACATGTCACAATTGAAAACATTTGAAAGATATCCTTCTGATAACTGAACCTCGAATGGTCTTGACTGGATGGCCTTAGCATTCATCATATCTTTAACGTGGCCCAAATACATTGATGATTCGATTAAAACACGAGTATATGGTTTAATATCTGGGTTGTTGAAAGCCATTGTAATTGATGCAAACTTTAATTGATTTGGAGAAATTAGTTGAACATGTGAATAGAGGCCCAACTCTGGTCTTTCAAATACTTTTCCATTAAAATCTCTTATGATAATGTCATCTGGGTTGATTGTTGTATTACCACCACGAGTATTTAAATTTATACGGACAGTTGTGAATAATATACGATCTGGTGATGGTGGTGCTCCTGGAATTGGTAATGTACTGGCCTTTTCCCCAATGTTTAATAATGATTTGTTCCAAATACTATAAACCAATGGTGCTTCATCTCCCATAGTGACACAATCTAAACCTTTAATTAGAGATGATTGAACTGGGTATTCAACTTGGAATGGCGATTTCGTTGCTGATACTCTTTTGAAATTTTGATTTACACGGTCAACTAAACATTCATGATCCATAGTTGCACCAACAATAAAGGGATTTCTTGGTAATTTGTAAATGTCTTGTTGAAAGTCTCTAATATGGAAATAGATTTCTTTTGGTAAATAAACTGATGTCTTTTCTACAATCCAACGTTGCATTGCTACTCTATTTCTTGGATCGCAATATACCCATTTGTTATCTGCAATATATGCCATAATATTTTGATGTGAAGGTGTTGGCATACCACCAACATTGGTGTGAAGGACCATTAATCTAACATCACTGTCTGGTTCTATGATATTATAACCAATTGTATCTATAAAACTGATTTTATCCACTTGTAAATCATATGGTGCTTCATAAATCACAACACCTCTATCTAGTGTATTTAAATGAATTCCATATACACCTGGAACACCCGATATACCGTTAATACCTTTAGTGCCATCTGCACCTGGGTAACCACTTGGACCAGAAATTCCACCACTATTTTAAAACAAATATTAATATTAAAAATGATATAAAAAAATTCCATGATATTAAAACTATAAAACATACGGATTAGTATAGGAACGATATTGTGTTGTTGAACCACCTCTACCATCGGATACCTGTTATAAAAAGAGTTTGATGTCAATATAAAATAAAAATAAATATAACAATATACCAATTATAAAACCTACACTGTATGATTCTGTCCATGTATAAGAAGATCCACCTGGACCTCCAGGTCCTCCATTACCACCATCACCGCCCTATTAATGAATTAAAATTAATATTTGAGATAATTTTACTTTTTTTTTAAAAAAAAATAATATTTACATCACCACCCGTACCTGGAACACCTGGTGCTGTATTTGAAATTGCTTGACCTAAAATCATTAAAAGATCCATGTCTTCTTGGTTACATTGAATTGTAATATTATCACCATTACCTGAATGAGCACCTGAACCACCATCACCACCTGCACCTCCATTACCACCTGGGCCACCATTTGTACCTGATGAATATCTAGTAGCATTTTGACCTGCATAACCTGCACCGCCTATAATGAAAAAATTATTAATAAAATTATATAATATTAAAAAAAAAAAATATCTATAAATTAAACATACCATTACCACCATCTCCACCTCTACCACCATGACCACCATCTCCACCTCTTGATGATAAATATAAATGAGTTTCTGGATTACCTAATTGTAATGCCTCAACACCTTTTCTTGGTTGATTATGTGCTGTTGGTGCCAAATTGTAATCTACAAAAATTCTATTTGAATTATCAGTAGCTAGTTTTGCTACAATACTACCAGAGTGGGTACCAACTATACCATCTTGGCCTCTTTGGCCCTAAAAAAAAAGGAAACAATAATTTTATTAATAACTTTATAAAATATAAAATAAAAAAATTCTAATAAAACATACTCTTGAACCATTACCACCACCATATGAACCTTTATGACCATCATCACCTGGAGGACCGTCTGTAAAAAATTGTAATTTAAATAATTGGGAATTAGTTTAATGATATAAAAAATAAAAATAAAAATAAAAATAAAAATAAAAATAAAAATAAAAATAAAAATAAAAATATTTAAAAAAAAAAAATTTTAAATATTTTTATTATAATAATATTTAAACAGGAAATCACACCTTCACCCCTGACACCGTCGTTGATTAACGCAAAAACCACTGTTGACATTTTATTCTAATTTACACTTTTATTTCCTTTTTTTTTTTTTTACAAATTTTTATAAACAAATAAGATAAAAAAATTGAATAAAAAAAAAAAAAGAATATATATCTTGTATTAAATATATCAATACAAAAAAAATATACAAATCTGTTGATAAAAAGAAAAAAAAAAAAAATAGTTAACCAAAAACTTAAAATTTAAAAAAAATTATAAAAAAATAAAAAAAAAAAAAAAATTTTTAGATATTTTAAAATTAAGTTATTGATTAATCAATCAGGGTCTATTAATAAATTTTGGTTGTTGATAGCTGCATAAAATGTGTTGGTTCTTTTGTGCTGCTGTGGGTATGCATTTTAAAAAAAAAAAAAAAAAAAAAAAAAAAAAAAAAAAAAAATTTTAACTTTTTGATTAACAAAAATGTAATATTCCAATAATTTTTTTAAAAGAAGCAGGTTTCATTTTCAAATGACTCTTTATAAAATGATAAACTAGTTTTCATATCTATTTATATTATTTATAATAATAAACACCCCTATTAATCTAAATAACAAAATAAATAAAAATAGAAATAAAAAAAAAAAAACATTTATTATATAAAACGTAAATTATATATATATATATTATATGTATATGGTTTGTTTTGTTTTATTTATATTTAAAGAGAAAAGATAATTAATTAATCATAGTAATTGTCTTATATGATGTGTGTTTCACAGACCATTAATATCATAAAAAAAATGGCTTTTTTTTAAAATAATTATTTTTTTATTTTATTTTTTTTAATTTTTTTTTTTTTAAAATTTTTTAAAAATTTTTTTTATTTTTTTTTTTTTATTTTTTTTTAATTTTTTTTATTATATATAAATTCAATATAATAATATTTGTATTTTTTTTTGTATTTTTATAACACTTTTTATTTATTTTAAAAATGGCCTCAAAAGAAGAATTAGTTCAAATCGCCACAAACTTTTTATTAAATGCACCACCATGTGAATTTATGGAAGTCGTTTCAGGTAAGTTCACACACCACCACACAAACAATCATCACTTTTAAACGATTATCAATTATTATTAAAAGCATCAGTATATTATAGAGAAATGAAAGATTACAATCAATAATATGCAAAAATAATAATCAGTTTTTATGTTTTAGTGTGTTTGGATTAAAATTAATCTTGGATCTAAAAAAAAAAACTTAAATTAAAAAAAAAAAAAAAAAAAAAAAATATTGATAAAAAAAAAAAAAAGTGTTTGCAATAATAGTTTTAATGGATGATTCAAAATAGTAATAAATAATATATAAATTATAATATTAATATCATATAAAACTTTAAAATAAAGATGTTCGTGCTCTTCTCCCAAATGAATCATTATTAAATGCTACAGCTGCCGATACTTTCAGAGAATATAACACTACTCAAATGATTTCAGTCAGCACCTCAAAAGGTCAAACTTTAATTACCAAAGAAGGTGAAGTTAGTGCAAACGAATATTTAGACCCAAAGAATAAACAAGTTGTTTCATTTGATCATATTAAACAAGTAAGTAGCAGAGGTTTTTAATTTAGGTTAAATAATGAAAAGTAATATTGTGATGATGGCGATGATGATACTAATTTAAATAATAATACCAATTTTTTTAGGCTGTTACTGGTGAACGTTCAGCTTCAGGTGAAATCGAACAAGATATCGAATCAATTAGATCTGCTTTTGAAGAAGAAGCTGTTAAATATTGCAATGAATTCTATCCAAATGGTGTTTGTGCTGTTTATGGTAACAAAGTCTCAGAAGGTACTAGAATCACTATTTGCATTTCAGCTGCTTTATACAATCCAAACAACTATTACTCTGGTCGTTGGAGAAGCACCTGGGTTTGCACCATTGCAGGTTCAAATGTTACATCAAACGGTAAAATTCAAATTAATGTTCACTATTATGAAGATGGTAATGTTCAATTAAATACCATTACCCAAAAATCATGCACTTCTGCTGCTGGTGTAAGTTTACAATTATTTAGTCTTTGGCATAAATATTTTTATTATTTTGTATATTAATGATATTTATGATTATTTTTTATAGGATGCCAAATCAACTGCTGTTAATGCCTTAAAAGCTATTGGTAAAGTTGAACTTAACCTCCATTCCTCAATTGATACCAGTTATTCAACCATGGGTGATACCACCTTCAAAGCTCTTAGACGTGCTCTTCCAATCAATCGTTCTAAGATTAACTGGCAAAAAGTTAGAGGTTTCAAAGTTGGTGCTGAACTCAACCAAGCCAAATAAAATTAATATTAATCCATATCAACAACATCAAAAGTTAACCCAATTTTATCTCTAGAAAAACCTTTTATAAAAATCAATCAAAAAAAAAAAAAATAGTAGTAGTGCACTACACCCACACAACCAATATATTTAATAAAATCAAAACAATGTTACTATATTAATAAAATAAAATAAAAGAAAATAATTTTTTTTTTTTAAAAAAAAAACAAAAAATATTTCATCTATATTTATCACAAATTATAATACCAATATAGTATTATTTTATTAAATCTATTTGTAATTTACCTATATGGTAATTAAAAAATATACACCCACTGGCTCACACTCTAACATTTATATATAAATTACAAAAAAAAGTATTAAATTAAGAAAATTGTTCAAAATGATATATCATATTTTTTTGAAAGTTTTTTCATAAAATCACACACTAACCCCTATATATTATTTTTTTTTTACAAAATAATATTTAATTTATTTATTTATTTTAAATTAGTACCCCCACTGCCTATATATTAATTTACTCAATGAATAATTATTTAATATTTTTTTTTATATTTTTTTTTTTTTTTTTCACTATTATAAATTGTTTTTAATTTATATACATATCTTAATATTGTTTTTAATATTTTAATTATTTTCATAATAACAATGTCAAATACGGATATCATTAATTATTTTAAAATAGAAAATTATTTAAATACAGTTGTATTAAATGATTTAAAATCAACTTTTAAAGAAAGATGGAGCAAAGAGTATAATAGTCAGTGGAAGAACGGATCAGAATGTGGTTCGTTAATTAAAGAAAATTTGAAACAATTAGGAAACACTTTCAACAAGGAGGAGGTAATGGTAATAGAAAAGGGTAATTGTAGCAAATTTACAATTTCAATTTTATGTGACCTTTTATTAAAATTAAAATTCAACAATAATGATTATTCCAATCAAAATGAAAAAATTAAAAAAATAAAAGAAATAAATGAAAAAGGTAAATATAGTTAAGCATAATATTTCATTTTTACCCAAAATTTCAAAATATTTATTATTTTTTTATTTTTTTTTAATTTTTTAATTTTATATTTTTTTATTTTTCAATACAAAAAGTTAAAAGCTTTGATTTTAAATTAAACTCAGAACACTTTACCCAATTTAAAGAAATATTAACAAAGAATTGTGCTTTCGAAAGTGGTAATAACAATGAAGAAAATGAAGATGATGGTGCTAATAGTAGTTTTAAAAATGAAAATGAGGCCAATCAACTGCTAGAAAAAGGTCAAAGTTCATTGAAAAATAAAAGTTTTGAACAAGCAAGAAAGTCATTTTCCCATGCATTAGGGTTTGAAGACATTTCCAAATCAATTAAAAGTCAACTCTACTATAGTTGTGGTATATCAAAATTGGAGCAATATAATAGATACTGTTGTTATGAAGGTATTACCAATGTAGAGTTCCCAGAAGATAAGTTTTCACTTTTCGAAGAGGCCAAATGTGATATCCTCTTAGCCATTATTTACAAGCCATCTTGGTATTTACCATACATGCAATATGGCAAAATCTTATCAAAGTTATCAAATTATCCAATGTCAATTAGTTTCTTTAAATCATCGTTATCACTTATTGAGGCTGCATCAAGTTTACCATCTGCTCAAGAAAATAAAAGCAATATTATGGATGAAATCAATGGCTTAATTAATGATTCAATGGATAAATTAAAGATGAAAATGAACCTCAGTAAGGAAAATGGTGGCAAAAGAAATTATTATAAAGAGAATGAAGTCAAAATTGAAAAACTTGGAAACTTGGTTAAAGAGAATAGGGCACAGTTCAAAACCACCCTTTCTGGTGACTTTTTAAAAAAATATGGTATTAATACCACAAAAAGATCAGAGTGCATTCAAATTGCAGAAAGATTTGGTTTACCAAAGCAATTGTATGTAGAAATAGAGATGGTTAATAAAGCTTTCGATTATTATAAAAGTGGTGAGCTAAATAAATCTTTAGAAATTTGTCAACATGTAGTCGGATCACAAACCCAGTATTGTCAAGCTTATTTAAATCTTTCAAATATCTATAGATTTAAAATCCCAAAGACCAATAACAGTGGTTCCAAAGGTGGAAATAGTTTGGGAATCGAATATGATCCAAAAATGGTTTTAACTCTTCATTTACTTGGTTCTCTCTGCCCAATTAAATTTGAAATCCCACAATATTTATCAAAGACATACTCTCAAGCTCAGATGGATGAAATATCTGAAAATTCTAGTGTTGGTGAAATGTTTTCATATATGGGTTTGATTTACCAATACGGTCTATTAAATGAAGATATTGATTTAGAAAAATCAATTTACTATTACAAGATGGCCATTGAACATTTCAATGATAGGACCTCATATGCAAACCTTGGAAATATGTATTACAAAGGAAGAGTTCCAGATGGTAAACCAAATTTAGAAGTTGCAAAAAAGATTTGGGAAAAAGGATCAAATTATGAATTTAAAGAATGTATTGACCTCTTAAAATCCAAATTCAAAATATCAAAAGACATAGAAAACCAAAACCAAAAGCAAATGCTCCTCAAACCAATTGAATTTAAATCCTCAAATAATATCTACAAAGGTGTAAATTATTTCGAACTTGAAAATTACGAATACCAACAATCTCTCAATTATAATTTCCAAGATATTTTAAATCAAGTTTCAGATAAAAATGGATCATTAAATAGAATCAACTACATTTTAAACAACACTAGCGAGTTTTTAAGAGAATTTAATAATGTTGATAGCAATAGCAGCAATAACAAAGATAATAACAACAATAATAAAGGTAAAAGTAAAACCAAAAATAACAATTTCAACATCAATAGTAACAATATCACAAGTTATAGTTTAGAATATATCAACAAAACATTGAAACCATTGACCAATGCATTTGTGGTATCAAGAGAGTTATTCTATTTAGTAAGTTTACCAAATGACAAATTAGAATCCATCAAACAATACATCAGTCAATTAGTTTCAGACTATAACAGTAATAGTGGCCAGTTTAGTAGTGAAGTTGTAAAAATGATCAGAGTTTGTTACTTGGGCCTCAACAGATTCAATTATGACATGTTGGACAGCAATATAGAATTTGTTAATCAATCATTAAAAATATTCAAAAACGATAGGGATTTCTTTTACTATAGCTGTGTTTTTAATATATACAAGAATGACTACACTAATGTATATTGCAACTCTAGTAATATAATCAAAACCATTCCAAAGGATATCATCAACTCTCGTGAAATCTTTTTATATTACAAGACCCTTTCATCCAACTTTGAATTGTTTGAAGATTCAGACCTTCAAGACAGTTTCAAGAATCAATTGCTTAATGAAATATCAAAAGACTCGTTAGAATTTGCCAACTGTGACAACTTTGAAACCAAATTAAAGAATGAAAAGGCTACCAACAACAACAAGAACAAAAATAATTCAAACAATGAATTCATTTTATATTCGCCATTCATCATTGATTTCTATTCATTAGTTTCATTTTCATTTTATTTGATTAGTATCAACAACAAGAATAACAACAATAACATGGAAGAAGAAGACGCTAGCAGTAATAAAAAGGGGGATAACAATATTAACAATTATAAGCTATCTATAGAATACTATAATTTAGCATGCAATTACCACAATCAATTAAAATCAAAATTACAATCAAAAACAACAAACCAAGAGGATCAATTATTATCTAAAGAGTTATATGTTAAAAGAATAGATTATTTAGAATCTATTTTAAGTAAATTAAAAATTTTTTTAAATCAATAAAAATACTTTTTTTATCAATGTTTTTTTTTTTTTTTTTTTTTTTTTTTTTTTTTTTTTTAAAAATTAAATTAAAATTTCGTTTTTTTTTAAATTTTTTAAATTTTTTTTCATTTTACCACAATAAATGATAATTTTTTATTTGTTTTATCACAATGAATAATAATAATAGTAATAATAGTTATAACAATAACAATAATAATAACAATAATAATAATAATAATAATAAAAAAATTAAAATTAATAAACAAACTGTGTTTTTTGATTGGGAAGAATTTAAAAATATTTATAATAAATTATATTCAAATGATGAAAAAGAACAAAAATCAGCTATTAAAAGAATTGCAAGTTGGAAAAGTAGAAATAAATTACCAGTTTCAATTGAAGTGACATGCTATTTTATAGAGTTATTATTAATGAAAGATAAAAGATCACAATCGGAACTAGAATTAGGTTTATCAATGGCAATAACTAGAATGGTAAATGGCTTTATTGATTCTACAAGAGACATGTTAAGAATCAACAAGATCAATATGTTTAAAAAAGCAAATGAGTTAAATTTACCAACAATGTTTGTCGATATAAGACATGATGCTGCTCATGGCAGATTACCAAGTTTAAATCTATTAACACCAGTATCCAAAACTGCTCTTCAATGGTTAGAGGATTCTTATTGGAAACCACAATTATCAAGTTTAGAATTCTCTTATGATTTAATAAGAGGTTTTTTAAATAACTATAGATCTTTGTAAATACTCATCTTTATTATTATTTTTATAAATAAATTTTTAATATTAATCTATTTTTAATTTACCAATTTTTTGATTTTAGCTTTAATAGTATAAATGAGAATAGCAATCAAAATATAAACGATAGTTTATTTAAATTTATCCTAGATTCCAATATTATAAATGAACTTAGTTCAGATATTTTAGGTAATATAATGATTCCAATTATGTTGGATGAAAACTACCTTATTGTAACTGAGAATTCAAATAATAATAATAATAATAAAAATATTAGTAATAATAGTAACAATATCATTTATAGTCACATTCCAAGTAACCTTAAAAAACTATACACCCCATTATGCCAATTCCTTCATTCCTCATTTCCTCACTTTTTAAATATAGTTTTATTTTTATTGTTAGATAGAATTTGTAAATCTACTCCATCAACCACAACAAACTCAAAAAAAAAAATACAAAAGCCACAAACTAATCATCAAGAAGTTTCAGAAATACAGGTAGGGGATTCTAAAATTTCCTTAATGACACAATGGACATTATATTTCCTAGAGCATTTCCAAAGCTCTTCAATCGAGGAGCAAGAAGGTTTGGTTAACTATAAAATCGAACTACCATATAGATATATGCTAGAAAAATGTTTAGAAAATATTCAGTCTAGACATTGCCAAAAAATATTAAATATAATTATGAAAAAGAAAAACATTGATACCCACAGTAATAGTATTAATAATAATAATAATAATAACGAGGGAGAAAACGAAATTAATTATTCAGCAGCTCAAGTTTTATCAACATTAAATCAAAACAATAATAGTGTTAATAATAACAATACAAATAATAATAACAAGGTATGGAAGTTACAAAAAGAATGGAGATCATGCCCAATTGGTATACTACCGCCACCAAGTGACCAAGTATCATCTAGCTTCGATTTATCAGATGATCTTGATGATAATTTAGATCATGGTAATTTTGTTCAAGCATCGTCCTTAGAATACACCACTATTGACCCTTCACTTTCAAATAAAAATATATTACTTTCAAAATTAGATATGATGTACCCAAATTTAAAAACAACATCAAGCATCAGAAAAGATTTTATTAATTTATCAAAACAATCACCAAATAATAATAATAATATCAATAACAGTAACAATAATAACAACAATAACAATAACACCAACAACAATAACAAAGAGCCAGAGGAATCCCCAATAATAGTCATTGAAGATGATGAGGCTCCAATTGTAAACAATGAACAACCAGTTTTAAAGAAACAAAAAACATCAAATAGTGTAGCCACTGGTAGTAAAGGACCAAAAAAATCAAAAGCAAAAAAAGATGTCCTGGATGATTTTATGTTTTGGAACAAATAGATTTATATAATTATTTATTTATTTTTTTTTTTTTTTTTTTTTTTATTTAATTTTTTTTTTTTATAAATATTAAAATTAATAAATAATATATTATTATTATTAATTTGGATTTCTAATGAATATAAAATTTTTATTAGGAAATTAATATGAAAAATAGAATTTGACTTTTTGGTAATCAATATTATAATCAAATCATTCAATTAGTTAATAATAATAAATAATAAAAATAAAATTAAAAATCATTTCTTCCAGATTTAGAAATCCCAAATTTTTGTAATAAACAAATAATTGATTTTTTTTAGATTTAATTTAAATTTCCATATTTATACTTTTTTTTTTTGTTATAATTTTTTATTTTATTTTTTTACATTTTTATTTTTTGTAATATAATCACTATAATTATTACTAAATAAATAAATAAACAAAAAAATTAAGTATAAAAGGGCGGTTTATTACTATTTCAAAACTGCTTTTTTTTTCAAAAAAATAATTTAAAAAATAAAAAAAAAATAAAAAAATTATTTATAATTTTTTTTTCAAATAAAATTTAAAATTTTTTTTTTTATTTTTTTTGTTTATCTTTACACACCGCTATCAAAATATTTTATTGATATAGATTACTTTTTTTTTTTTTGTTTGTTTGTTTATTTATTTCTGTGTTGTAATAATATTATTTAAAATAATCTTTTTTTTTGAACTCGCAAATAAAAATAAAGATAACTCAATTTTGTGTATAGTGTGTTTTTTTTTTGTTTTTTTAAAAAAATTTAAAAATTTTTATTATTGTTATTTTTTTTTTAAATATTATTATTTTTTTGTAAATCTCCCTCTTTTTAAATAATAATAATTACTAAATAAATAAAAAAATAAAATTATATAAATATTATAATAATTATCCCAATAAACAAAATGGATAATAATAATAATAATGCCACAATAACATCAAACCAAGTTGGCACAACAAATAAAACTAAAGAAATTGATATGGATTTATTTACTAGAGTAACAATATTTGATGAAGATTATGACGATGATGAAATACTTAGTGATGATGAGGATGATAATACTGGCAATCAAACAAGCGAAAAGAGCAAAACTAGCATAATGAAACTATGGTTCTATGATTATTACAAGGATTTGGGCTCATATAGAAATCAAAGAGAAGAAAGACACCAAAACTTTTTAATAGGGTTAAAAGAAGATGAAGATAACCAAAATCTAACTCCAGAGGAACAAAAGAACATAGAGTATGAACATTTTCAAAAAGAATCGTCATATCTTAGATTAAAAAGAAACCTAATCCGAAAAGAATTTCAACCACTTTATATATCATCAGTGGCACCAGCATCAACGGTTAATAAATTTAAACAGGGTAGATCACCAAATAGGAGAAGTGGAACTTTTGCTGCCCAGGGCAGCTTATCACCACCCTCTAATATTACTACAGCAGATTTAACAAAAAAACAAAATAGACAAAGTACGAATTTATCACCAATACAACAACAATTATATAACCAACTACAACAAGATACCACACAATCAACAACATCGTCCAATACAACAGCTTCAAACAATAATAATAGTGAATTTAATGGTGGTACTGTTCAATTTAAAACACCAATGCATAAAAGCGAATTAACATTTTCAACATCACCATTATCATCATCATCAGGTAATGTTACACCACCATCAACACCAAGCGAACCAAATGAAGAGTTTGATAGAAGTAATTATAGAAGAACCAAATCGATTTCTTCGATTATCAAAAAAAGAGATGGTTCAAGTTCAATTTCAACAGGATCAGAAAGTGCAAACAGCAGCAGAAGTGGTACACGTGCAAGCAGTGGTAGTTTTAGTGGCGGCACCATAAATAGAGAGTTTCAAAATTTTACACCATTAAAGAATCTTAGTGTTTCAAAAAATAAATCCTATACCATGATGTTCAAATTGGACCACAAAGCAATTTTAGAGCAAACCGAAAAACTTTTAGAGGAAAAAGAAAAGGATACAAGAATGGCCGCAGAAATTGGTCAATCGTTATTGGAAAAGAATGAGGATTTAGAGGAGGAAATGAAGCTACTCAGACAGAGACTTCAAGAGCAGGAGTTATTAAACGATTCATTAAAGCAATTTACTCAACAAGTTGAAAAATTAAAATCAGAGAATGCCTATCTTTCTAGTCAAATTTCTACCGCTAAAACCGAGAACGAAACACTTTTAATGAAAGAATTCGAATTAACTACCGAACTGAATGATCAAAATAGTCGTTTAAAAGACAGCCCATGGAAAACTAAAACTATTAAACAACAAAAAGAAGAAATTGAAGAGCTCAAGCAAATCGTTGAATCTTTACAAGAATCTCAAGGTAAATTAAAAAAGAATCGTGATAGACTATTAACTGCCAACGAATCACTTCAAACCTCGGTCCACGATTTGAAATTTCAATTGGATGGTAAAATTGATGAATCTGAATTTGAAAAACTTCGTAAAAAGGTTAAATCATTGCGTCAACAAAATAAGAAACTCCAAATTCAAGTCGAACAAAGCCAATTAGATCTATCACCCGAGTCAAGACTAATCAAAAACCCAGAAATTATTTTAAAATCTGCATATAACGATTTAATTAAAAATGAACAATTAATTTCATCAACTCCAAAAATCACAAATCTTCGTGTTTTATCTGACGCCAAAAACCTTTTAAACCGTTTAGAAGCTGAAATCATAAATTTCGATGATTGCTCTTTAATTTCAACTTTAATAAACTTTTTAGATCAAGATTCAAATTTAAATTTAAACTATACAGGCTTACCAAATCAATTATCACAATCAAATAACTTATTAGATTTATTAAAGCAACATCAATCAATATCCTCTGAACCACAAGCATCACCAAGTAATGCAGTATTATCAGGCTTAAATGATTCATTTGAATCAATTTCTTCATCAACTAATCAAGATTCAAAATCTGCTTTATATATGGTATGTACCTAATAACAATAATAATAACAGTTAACGTTATTTTTATTTAAATATACTAATTAAAATTTTTATTTATTTTTTAAAAATAGTTAATTTGTATTATATCAATTAATAAATATACAAAATATGATCAAAATAGATTTAAAGAACTTAATAACGAAGATAATGAAATTGCACTTGAAAAAGAAAGAGCAGAAAAGAATAAATTAAAAATAAAGATTCAAGAACTAAGTAAAGTAATTGATGAACTAAGTGAAGGATTACAATCTACAAAATCATACAACAAGGTATTACAGGACCAAATAGATCAATTATTATTAGAGCAGGCTTCGAATAATATGGGTGGTTCTAATGGAATTTTATCAATGGCAGATGAATTGAAAGCTTCAAATATTTTCGAAAGAAATTATCAAGAAGAAATCGATTCCATGAAGGCGGAAATGGAGCAACAAATTCAAACATTCTCAGATCGACAAGTTCAATATTCATTGGAATTAGAAACTAAAGAGAAAGAATTGTCAGTTATCAAAGGAGATTTTGAAAGCAAGATATTGGATTTAGAGAACCTTTTACAAGAGCGTTTAAATTTAATTCAAGAGTATTTAGCACGTATAGAAGAGTTGGATAGAAATGTTGGTGACCGTGATTCAAAACTACATGAAAAAGATAAAGTTATTCAAGATATTGAAAAGAATATAATTGAAAAAGACAAATTAATCAGTGAACAAGTTGAATCAATTAAATCAGTTCAACAATTACTTTTAGAAAAAGAAGCTCAGCTTTTAGAAAAAGATAAAGAAATTAAGGAATTAGATCAAAAGTTAAAAGAAAACCAGGAAACAATCAAAGAAACACAACAATTACTCGAAAGCAAAGATCAACACATTAAAGAATTAAATCAAAAAATTCAACAATTTGAAATTACAATTAGAGATCTTGAATCAAACTCATCAGCTAAAGATGAATTACTCAAAGAAAAAGACGGTTTAATCAAAGAGAAAGAGCAATTAATAAAAGAAAGAGATCAATTAATTAAGGAATGGGAGTCCAAAGTAAATGAAAAGGATCAGGTTATTCAAGAAAAAGATAAATTACTCTCAGAGAAGGAAGAGCAATTTAAATTAAGAATTAATGAGTTCGAGCACAATATCGATTCTTTCGAGACCATGTTAAAAGAGAAACAAGACACAATCAAAATGCAAGATGAAAAGATTAAGGAGTTACAAGAATCTATAAGCCAAATTAAATCAGAATTAACAGGTAATGAAAATGAACTCAAGAACAAGATCAACGATTTAATGAGCAAATTTAATGAAATGGAATCAATCTCAAACGAAAGATTAGAAACTATTAAAGAAAAAGACCAATTATTATTAGAAAAAGAAAAGCAGTATCAAACATTACAACTCGAATTAGAAAAACTTTCAAACTCCACCAACCAAGAAAAAGATCAATTATCATCACAATTACAACAATTAGAATCGAAATTAACAGCAATCACAAATGACCATGATCAATGTAGTTCAATTAAACAACAAGAAATCAACAACTCTATTCAATTGGTTAAAGAGCGTATTGAGCATCAATATTCAGTATTATTAGAAGAGTTCCAACAACGTACAGCTCAATATAATGATAGATTTAATAAACTTGAACATCAATCTAGAGAATCAATCCTTGGAAAATGTAAAGAGGTCGAAGAATTAATCAATCAAGTATACCATCTCCAGGGTCAAGTTAAGCTTTTAGAAAGCACAATCGAACAATTAAAATCTCAACATACACAAGATCAAGAAAAATCTGAAAATCTCATCATCGAACTATTAGATAAAAAAGAAGAGTTGGACTCTATGGTCAATGAAAATAGTCAACTTAAAACTGAAGTAGAAGATCTTCGTGTTAAAATTGAAGAAAAGAATAGAAAACATCAAGTACTTAAACGTGAACTTTCGATGCAAATGGATATGTTGGCATCAGTAGAACAACAAAAGAAAGCAGAAAAGGAAGAAGAAGAAAAGAAAAGATTACTTGTTGAACAAGCCAACAAAATTGTATTACCAACACAAGAAAAAGATTACTATATCGAAGAAGAAACTCCACTTATTCAATATGTTAACTCTGTTGAATCACTTTCTAACGATCCACACATCAAAAATGTTTTCCCAATCGATCCAACTAAACACATCATTCACTCTTTCTATAATGGTGTTTTACTCGGTAAATTGGTAAATTTCGCTCGTGAAGGAACAATCGATGAGAGAGTACTCAATATTGATCCATCAAATAATATCGAAATTGATCAAAATTTAAATCTAGTTTTCAACTCTGCCAAAGCTATTGGTTGTGTTATCCCACCAACAATTTCGCCATCAACATTAAAATCAGATCCAAAAGAAATGGTTAATCTCTTGTACGAATTAGTTAGGGTTCAAATTACATCAACTATTAATATCCATAGCTACCCTACATTACTTGTACTTAAAGAAAGTAATGAGGATCTAAAGCATTTCTTTGTTCAATCTGCAAGCAAGCTTTTATTACGTTGGTTCATGCACCACCTCGATTTAGATAAAACCAAGCTTACTCTTGAACAATTAGCAAGTACTCCAGCAAATTTAATCAAACTTTTCACCAAAATCGACAAGCAATTACAAGCTCCATCATTTTCAAATCAACCAGATCAATCAAATAAACTTGTAGAGGAATATGAATGGATTTTAGATCAATCTAAAAATAACTTTAATATTTTCCAATGGCTAAGTTTTGAATCAATTCAAAATGTAAGTTGTTTAGTTTTATTTACCATTTTAAAATTTTAAAATATAAAAATAATATTAACTTTTTTTTTTTTTTTTATTTTAGAAAAATCCAAAACTAATTTATTTATTTTTATCAAGTCTATTTAAATCAAATAAAGGTATTGGTATAAAAGAACCTGAAACCAAAGAAATCGAAAAACAACAAAAATTAGTAGAACAAGTCATTAAAGATGTTGAAGGTACAAGAGAAGAACGTGCATTCTGTATGTGGATGAACTCACTTAATATTAAACCATACGTTAACAATTTACAACAAGATCTTCAAGATGGTTTGGTTATGCTTCAAATGTTCGATAAGATTAAACCAGGTTCAGTTAATTGGAAAGATGTCAACATGAACCCATCAAATAATTATATGGCTTTAGAAAATTGCAACTATAGTATTTCAATTGGTAAAAACCTTCGTTTCTCATTAGTTGGTATTGGTGGCAAAGATATTCATGAAGGTAATCGTAAATTAACACTAGCTTTGATATGGCAAGCTTGTAAATACCACTTTATTTCACTCTTAACAAATCTACGTTTATCAATGCAAAATGATCAACCATTTACCGAAACTGATATCATTGGTTGGGCAAATAAACAAGTCGCTAAGCATGGTAAAACCTCATGTATATCTGGTTTCAAGGATCAATCTATTGGTGATGGTAAATTCCTTATCGACCTATTAGACTCTATCGAGAGTGTTGTAAATTACTCCATTGTAAAGAATGGCGAAACCTTTGAAGAAAAGAAATTAAATGCTCAATATATTATCAATGTTGCAAGAAAGATTGGTTGTTGTATTTTTGTTGTTTGGGAAGATTTAGTAGAAGTAAAACCAAAGATGATTTTAACTTTTATTTCAACTTTAATGTGCTTTGAATATGAAAAAAACAGTAAACAATTTTTAGAAAATAATAATAATAACAATATCGAAGAAATATAAAGTATAATATAAAATTTTGTATAAATAAAAATAAAATATATATTAAATTAAAATACATATTTTTTAATTTTTTTTTTTTTGTTTAATTGTGATATAAATATAATTTTGGGGAATTGGATAATTAGGTATTTTTTGAAAATGTGATAATAAGGGTTATTTTATTTTTATTTTTAAATATTAATTAGAAATTTTAGATATTTTTAATAATATTAATTAGAATAAAGAAATTATAGATTATTTTTTTTTTGCTGATTTTTTAATCTTTATATTTTAATTTTTTGATATTTAAATAATTTCCTCTTTAACAAATCATTCCCATGGTTATTTTCAAAGACAGTTATATATCTTTTTTTCTAATTCATCCATTGTCAGAATCTCTTCTTCCACAAGTTCTAAAAGCTTTGAGAAATGTCTGTGATTACACTTGAATTCATTGGTACCATAGTTATAGGAAAAAATAAATTCTACGTTGTTTGGTTTCGTAATACCAAGGTATTTGTCATGGCCCTCAATACCAGCACCAACTTCAATAATAAAGAAAGCTTTAGAGTTACCTTTAAGTATCTGAGAAATAGTATAAACCAAATGATCTAAGATCATAAAAGTACCGTCAGACAATTCAAATTGAAGCTCTCCTATAAAAAACAATTAATGAGTATTATTTTAAAAAAGATAAAAAAAAAAAAAAATTCCAAATTTTCTTTTGACTTGGTTTTATTGAGGTTTTATTTATTAAAAAATGAATACAAAAAAAACAAGGTCTAATTATTTTTTTTTGATTTTTTCTTTTACAAAACCGTAATTTTAGAAAATAATTACCATTAAGATATCTTGTTTGTGATGATATAAATACCATAACACCTAGATCTTCATTAATGAAGTATACATCCTTCACTTTTGTTAGAAAAAAATCCCAGGTGGTTACGAAATCTTTGATGTTTAAATTTGAGGTTATTCCAAAGATGCTTTGATTATCATTTGGTTTGATTGATTTCAAATATCCATTGACATTATTTAATCCAGTATTATTTTCAAAAATAAAGTGGATGGAACAAACTTGAAATTGATTTATAGGGTTGTCTTGAATAAAGACTATCTCTTGATTGTTTTCATTTTTACTGATTAAAGTAGATACTACTCTTTCATAGGCTCTCATACAATGATTTATACAATTACAATTTTCACCATTACCTAATAAAACTTGATTTTCCCAACAACCACTAATACTACTATTATTACCTCTACTACAATTACTACAATTACTACAATTACTACAATTACTACAATTACTACAATTACTACAATTACTACAATTACTACAATTACTAAAAAAACTACAAATACTACCATTACTACTACTTCGACTATGACTACTACTATTACAACTACTACTATTATTACTACCATAACTAATACCACCTCCACTAATGCATTGTAATATATGCTTTAGATCAAAATTATGCCCTTTCTCCATTTTACTTATTTTTTATTAAATTATTTATATATTTAATTATTTTTAAAGAGCTAATAATTAGTGATATTAGATTTATATTGAAAACAATGATTTAATTTACATTTATTTATAATAAAAAAAAAAAAATTTTTAAAAACTTAATTAATTTCTTTGAATTTTTTTTTTTAAAACTGTTCAATTTTATATCGGCCGTACATTACCATTCATAATTGGATATTTGTTATAATAAAAAAATTATTCATCATCTAAGTTTAAAAAAAATCTTTTTAAGATTTTTTTTTTTTTTATATTTAAAACATAGAGCCAATTTTTATTTTCCTGTAATTTTAAAATATTGCATTTATTCCCAATTTTGAAAAAATGAAAATAGTTATTGGGTTTTTTCAAACATTTTAAATTTTAAAAAAAATTTTTAAAATAATTAATAAATAATATTAATAATATAATTAAATTTGAATCTTATAAAGTTTTGGGCAGTAAATTCAATCCAAATAAATTATAACTGTCACTCTTATGATTAAAAGTCTCTAACCCGCCCATATAATTAATCTTCCCATATTTGTCTTCTAAAATGAAACCACTAGAATCACCTTTTAGTTCAAAACTAATAAATTGTGCTAAATCCTACCATCAATCAATTCTAATTTACAAATATTTAGATTTTCAATGTACATATATATTCCCAAACATTACCAAAGAAATAAAACCGATTTTACAGTATTTTCAATTTAGTTTTGACTGGGTTTCGAAAAAAAAAAAAATTTTATTAGTTCTTTTATATAATTTTTTTTTATATTATAAAACTGGTTCATAAATATAAAATTATTATATTTAATAAATAAAAATATTTTATTTTTTAATTTTTTTTATAATTTATTTTTTAAAATCCAAAATTTAAAAAATTTTAAAAAAATTATAAAAAAAATTAAAAAAAGCAATGATTATTATTAAAAAAAAAAAAAAGAAAAATTATGACGTGTTTGTGCTGTTATTTTATGGAATTGATGTCATATATCCCAAAATACTCTATATCACTATCTCTTTTTTTAAAAAAAATTATCTCTTTTTTTAAAAAAAATTATTCATTTTTAAAATTTGCAAATTGTCATAAAATAACAGCACAAACACGTCATAATTTTTCTGTTTTGGAAAGTTATCTTGTAAAACATTAATATCTTAAACACAAAAGCAATATTTGCCAAGCTTGAGACCATACTTATCAATCAGTGCCATAAAATGCCATCTATTTGCATCAACATAAATAAATGGTATTGAACCCTCGCCTACAAAGTCAAAAACTCCGATGTTCATTATACCAACAAAAAACAATAATAATATTATTAACAATAATGACGATCTAGAAACTACAAATTTTCAAATTTTATGATAAAAATTAAGTTCCTGAAAGATTACCATTCCTTTGTCTTGATAACTGTAGTTCACATAAGAAAAGACGGTGAAATAAGAAGAGAGTAATATTTATCAAATGAATTCCTCAATGATAAAGTTCATATTTACTTTATTATTTATTTAATTTCTTAAAGCTTTATTTAATGAAAATAATATTTATTTACATACACATACAACATATTCATTCTCGTGGATGCTTTTAAAACAAAACATACAACTTGTTTACATCGTTCTATTTACTACAAATCCTAAACAACAATAACCATCAAAAAGAAAGCCTTTTATTTAATTGAAAAAAGTTCAACCAAAATAAATTAAGTAAATATAATCAAAAAAAAAATCTGATTTATATTTTAATAAAAAAAATTTTTATGTGCTAAATTATTTATTTATAAATAATTCCTTTATAAATAGATAATAAAATCGAAATAGGATTTTAATTTTATTATGATTTTCGCTTTTTTTTTTTTTTTTTTTTTTAAAAATATAGTTATTATTATATTATATATTATTAAGATTTCAAGTAAATAAATAATTATTGGGTTTTTTAATATGAACAGCTTTCATATTTATGGACACTTGTTGAACCGCTCCATGGAATGAAGAAAATATAACGGTCTAATATAACTGAGGAATGAGGATTGTATGAATTACACAAAAGAGGAGCAACCCTCTTCCAGCTATTTGTTGTTGGATTAAATTGTAAAACAATATTATTTGAATAAGATTCATTTTCGGCACCAATTGCATAGATTTTACCCTCCATTGAAGTTGCTGTAGAAACTTTGAATTGCCCATTGCTGAGATTGCAAATAAAGGACCATTGATTGGAATGGGGATTATAACGCTCGATAGTGGTATTTGGACTTGAACCACCAATTATATAGATAAAACCATCTTGGACTACTGTTGAACCCTCTGCACGTTTAGTTAACATATTTGCAACATTACACCAACTATTTGTTCTTGGGTGATATCTTTCGACAGTATCTGTTACTGTTGAGCCCTTGTAACCACCAATAATATATATGTAATCATCCAATACAGCTAAACTGAAACCAGTTTTACCACCCTTTAATGTGTTTTCGGCACTCTTCCATCTTAATTCTTTTGGATCATATTTATAGATTGGTTGGTGTAAACCAGCATCTGGAAGAGCATATATACAATCGCCTACAACACCAGCAACAAAGTAATGGTTAATCATTGAATCTAAAACTGGGCAAATAAAAGTCCAACTGTTGCTTCTAATGTTATACTCTTCGAATTGGAAAGTAATAGAGCTAGTGTTAAGAGTAGGACTGTTACTACCGCTACTACCTGCTGCGCTACCGCCAACATTAATTGTGCTACCACCAACACTACCGACACTGCCAGTACTACTATTGCTGTTGCTGTTACCATCTGGGTGAATACGCTCAGTGATTGCGTATAATGTATTATTCATTGTAACCAATAATCTAAAGCTTTTAATATTTGATGTCATGCCCTTAATTTCTTCCCAGTAGCCTTGATGGTCGCTATCTTGACCCAATGTTTGGTGTTTGATATCGCAAACGCAACGTGGAGTGGAAATTGGACTTGAGCCAGGTTGGCCATAGCTGAAAGATGGTAAACCATAATAAGACATTTCTAATTCGATTTTTCTTTTAAGGTCAATATCTACTGGTGGGTTCCATAATGGGCCATCTCTAAGATAAGATAAAATATAACCAAACAATTTGCCATCTCTGTCAATGAACACTCTGCCATCCTTATCACGTGGTAATTCATATCTTCCTGAAAACATTACGCCCAACATCGAATCTGGGAATTTAGTTAAAGTGCTGATAGTGGTTGAATAAAACTTTCCACCAATATCCAACTTTATAATCTTTTCTTCTACATTAGTTTCGTTGGATTTAACTCTAACAGTATCATCTATCCATTGTCTAACTAAATTTGGGTTTGATACATCTCTTTTTAAGTGTAACATTGGTACTCTTGGTAATGGGGATACTGTTAATGATGGTGGTGCCTTACCAATTGGACTACTATTACTATTATTGCTATTAGTATTATTATTTGGACTACCATTTGGATTATTTATATGTACATTTGATGAAAAACTACTACTCAATCTATTAGTTAGGGTTTGTGTTAGAATATCACTTTCTTGTGAAAATGTTTTACTTCTGTACAATGATTTCGTTATATTATTACTATTGCTACTACTACTACTACTATGATAATGATTATAGTGATTGTTATTGTTGTTGCTGCTATAATTTATCGTATCTATTTTTTGTTGTTGGCAATTTGTGCATAAATTTCTATTGGTTAATAACAATTGATATACATTTTCGATAGACTTTGATATATCTTTAATAGATTGCTTGATTTCTTTAATTTCTTTATTGTGACATTCTAATCTATCTAATAAAAATGCTTTATCATCATTTGATATATCATCTTTTTTAGTCATTTTATTTTTGATTTTGATTTTATTTATTTTATATACAAAAAACTATTTACTATCTATTTATTTATTATTTACTATATATTATTTACTATTTATAATTTTTATTTTAAAAATACAACAATGTAAAAATTATTATTTATTATTATTTTTTTTTTTTTTTTATTAAATATATTTTAATTTTATTTTTATATTTACAAAACTATAGTTTTATATTGTAAATATAAAAAAATTATTATATATTAACCTCTAATGAAACACATACACAAATATAAACACACAAACACTCTGAAATATTAAAAAAAAATATCAATGATAACCCCAATATTTTTATTAAATTTATACAAAAAAAAATAAATAAATAAAAAAAAAAATAAAAAAAAAAATAAAAGACAAAAACCAATGATATTTAAATATGATTATAATATTATTTTTATATATTGCTTATTGGTTAAAATTTTGGTATTTGTTTTAAAAAGATAATTTATTTAATATTCCAATTATTAAAATTATTTTTTTATTTTTTTATATAGGCCACTACACTTTTTTTTTTTTTTTTTTTTTTTTTTAAAAAATTTTAAAAAAAAATAAATATAAAAAATAAATTTTTTTTTTTACGAAAACCTTTTCTATAGAAAAAACGATAAAATTGATAAAAAAAAAACCCACCCCATTTTTTACCCCAAACAAAAATTTTTAGGCAAAGACCCTAAAACCCCCCACCAAAAAGGCATTTAATTAATGGGTAAAATTTTTTTTTTTTTTTTTATATTCAGATTTGTTATAATGGTCAGTGGAAAATATTGAATTGTGCCTTTTAAAAAAAGAATGTATTTTTTTTTTATTTTAATAAAATTAATTTGATGGACTATTAGTTTTTTTTTTTTTTTTTTTATTATAATTGTATTTTTGAGAACATATAATCACACCTTTTTAATCAAAACACCATTACTTTCAACATAATAGATTAGAAACGTTAAAAAATCTAAAACAATCTCATATTTTATAATAAAGAAAAATTAAATCAAAAAAAAAAAAAAAAAAAAAGATTATGAATTGAGATGTTGAAGCTGTTTTAATTTCAATTTCCAAAAGATCCTTTTTTATAATAATCATAGTAAAAAAAAAAAAAAAAAAAAAACCTTTCAAATTTCATATCGGTTATGAATTTTCATAGGATTTTAAAAAATTATTATAAATTAATTAGTTAGAGATGTATCCACTAAATCTTTTTTTTTTTTTTTTTTTTTTTTTTTTTTTTTTTTGGCTTTTTTAAAAATTGAAAAGATTTCTTGCTATCACAAGTATCATAGTTTTAATAGATATTTTTTTTGATTGTTTTTTGTTATAGTAATACACACCAACAATAAAAAAAAAGTGATTGTTTATTATAAAAAAAAAAAAAAATTTTAAAAATCATGACGAATTATTTTTTATACGTATACATGTTCAAATAATTTATTTCATATAAATACAATCTATAAAAGGTATTGGTTGTTAAGTGAATTATTTTTATTATTATTATTTTTATATGAATAATAGTAAAATAAAAAGTTGAGTGGTGGGAGGTGTTGATGATTATTTATTAATTATTTATATTTATTTATTTATTATTTGCATTGTTTTTTAAAGTTTTAATTTCTTGAGCTTTATCAAGACATGGTTGAATATTTTGAACCCACATATCTTTTTCGGCAACAGTTCTAGTAAAAAATCTCTTATATTCACCCTTTTCATTATCTACACCAAACCAATCTAATAAAGAAGAAAAAAAAAAAAAATTAGGGATTTAATTATTTAAAAAAAATTAGTGATATATATTATGTATAACTTACTTTCAGATTTGTTATGTGATAATTTGGTTTGTGAGGTTAAACTATGATGTGATAAATATTTATATTTTGGTTGCTTTGATTTATGCTTTTCATTGTTTGCACTACCAAATAAAGTTTTATTTGCAAAGTAAGAGTCTTTACCTTTTTTATATTTACAAACTACCAACATTTGATTGAATAAAAAGACATGTAAGTTTGTTGGTATACTATTTTTAGAGTTTGATTCATTACTATTGGATGATGAACCTGCGTTTCCAACGACACCAGCAATAGCGCCACCAAAACCACTGCCACTGGACATAATATGAGCTTGTAAATCACCCTCCATAATATAACGTAATGATGAGTACTCCATAATGTTGAAACCAATGATTGCTTCTTGTAATAATGATACATGAATAACATTTTCGAAATCTCTACGTTTTTCATTGACGTGGTCGGCAATCGATTGCATTTTGGTGAGCGATCCAGTTAATTGTTGATAATCTGGATGTGTAGTTTCGGTGACTTTACACATTTCTTCTAATAATAGGACATAACGAGGGATACGTTGGACTGGGATGATAATTAAATCACGAAGTTGTTGATGGGTCTTCATAAAAGTATTGTTGATAAATTCATTGAGACCTGGGTGTTTGGAAAAGTCATTTACAGTTGAGAGGGCACGATTATAGTGGTTTACATAGGCAATATAACACTTCAATAGATCACTCATCTTGAAGAAGATATCACCAAATAGTTGTTGGTAGTGCCATGGTGTGGACATTCTTTCTTTTAAACGTTTTAAAAGCATATTGTTCATATTTAAAATGACTTCTATGTTGTTGGTTAAGGTTTTTACGTTGTCGGCGCTAATTGATGAAACTGAGGCACTTTCATTCTTTAATGGGACTAAATAGTATTGTAAGAGTACTGATAAACTATTGACATAGGTTTCTTCAGTTTTAAGAATTTCTTGAGCCACCTCTCTACGATTCTTTATTCTTCTGTAATGCTTTCTAGTGAGGTAACCTCTAATAATAGATTGACATCTTACAATTCTTTTAACTTCTTCTCTATCAATTTGAGCATCATCTGCCAATGAGCACGATGATGATGATTGTGTAAGTGTGTTTGATCCAATCTCTTTTTCTCTGATGATTCTTCTTTCTTCTTTCTCTCTTCTTCTGCTTCTTCTCTTTTCTCTTCTTTCATCTTTTTCTTGTTGTGTTTCTTTTGGTTTGCTTGCTATTACTGTTGGAGTAGTATTACTAGGTGGTGATGGTTTCTTTTTCTTTAATGAAGATGATGGCGAATTTTCTTCACTTGTTATATTGTTTGGTGTACTATTATTACTGCTACTTGTTGGGGTACTATTGTTACTTTTGTGATGATGGTGGTGATGATGGTGATGATTATGACTATTGTGTTCTGTAATTGATGTGATTACACTTTTCATTGATGAAATTTTGGTTTCTAATTGATCCAATTTATCTGCCAATTTATTTACTTTTTCATCTAAAATATTTGAGGTTTTAATGAGCATACTTTCATGTTGTTCAGAGAACCTTTTCAATTCTTTTGTAAAGTTATTGATAATTTCAATGATTGAGTTTTTGTCTAATTGCTGTTGCTGTTGAAGTTGTTGGGTTAATGGGATTTGTACAATTTGTGAGAAAGATGGTTGCTTTTGGATTGGTCTTGGTGATGGGTTTGATTGTTGTTGAGTTCTATCAATAGCTGGGGAGCTTGTTGGAGTTGTATTGGTAATATTAATTTTTTCAGGTGTTGATTTATTTGTTGGTGTGATTGTATTTGGGTTTGGAATTGTATTTGGGTTTGGATTGTTAATTGTACTGATATTGTTTTGATTATTAATAAGATTTGGATTTAATGGTGCTACAATTGGTGCCAATGAAATTCTTTTTTTGGCTGTTGTTGTGGTTGTTGATGATGAGGAAATACTATTTAATTGTTGTTGTAAATTTGTTATACCAGAGTCACTTACTGTTGAACTATTTGAACCTGTACTTGAAACTCTATGATGACCTTTTGTAAAAGCTGGTTGTGGAGTTGTATTGGTCGAAACATTTCTACGATAGTTTAAAAAATATGAAATATAAGTCATAACACAATATTCATCAATTGGACCTTCAATAATGTTTTGAGGGGTGAGGAATTTTGGAATATTTAATTGCTTTTCTGCGATATCAAAACACTTGCTTAAAGCTTCAACTTCACCTTCTTTTGAAATAGTATCTAAATCTATACTCTCTGGACAATATTTATGAATAAGGCAATAGAATAATTGAGGACTTTGAAATGCCTTGTTAAAGTTGGTAATGGAAGTTGCATTATAGCCTTCGATTTCACGTCTGCACCATCTTAAAAGGGCTTCTTTGGCAGTTGGTTTGGAATTTGATGATAATCTTGGTGTTGTTGTAAAGGATCTACTGAGGTCATTGGATGATACTGTATGTTCTATTGTGCCATGTGATGATGGTGGTATATTTAATGTATTTCCAGTTGATGTGGTGGTTGATGCTTCCAATGCAAAATCTTCATCGGTTAGAAATTGTTGAATTTGAAATTTCGAAATTAATCTCCAAATTAAGCTTAAGGTCATTTTAACGTGCTTGTCAACTAAATGTTCTGGTCTACAATTAACTAAACTTATACCCCATCTGTCGATAACATTCAGTGCTAATTGAACATTTGATAATTGTTGTAATCTATTTTTTGGTTTAGTGATATAGTTTTCGGATTTTTCATTTGTTAATATTTCTAATAAATTTATTAAATAAACTCCATCTCTTAAATCTTCGAATAAATCTACAATGTGTAAATTTCTTTTACTTAAAATATTATTTGCCCATATAGTATATCTAAAGAAAAAAAAATAATTGGATTTAAAATATTAGTATTTATTTAGTTGTTTGGTTGTTTAAAATATAATATATGATACATACACTTTTTTTTGACTTTCAACTGAATAATCTTCACTACTCATTTTCTCTTTCTTTCTTTCCTTTTTTTTTTTTTTTTCTTTTTTTTTTTTATAAAAAACCTATATAACTTTTTTTTTAAAAAAAAAAAAAAAACAACAATTATTTTATCAATATTTAATTAACTAATTAATTATTTGTTTATTGTGTGACAAAAAAAAATTATTTTTAAATATTATTTATTTTTAAATTATTTATTTATAGTACAAAAAAAAAAGTAATAATAATTTTTTTTTTTAATTCCCTCTTTTTTTTATTTTTTCGTTATAGGGTGTTTTTTTTTATATAATACAAATTGTGTTGTTATTTTGGGTATTATAATTGTTGTTATTATTTAAATAAAAAAAAAAAAGATAGGATGTATTATAATTTTATTTTAAATTTTTTAAAAAAAAAAAAAAAAAAAAATTATTTTTTAAATTTTTTTAAAATTTTTTTTATTTTTTTTTGGGTTGGAGGTGACCAAAAATACACTCTCTCATGCTCCAACTGAACTACGTTTTTTTTAAAACAATTCTCTACTAATATTGCACTCTGATATCCAAATAAAATTTTTTATTATGTGTGAATGTGGGTGTGTATTTTGGTTATCTTTATTTATTCACTCAAGGTTATAAATTTAAAAGAAATAATAAAAAAATAAAAATTTTTAAGTCTTTATACAACAAAGTTATGAATAAAAAAAAATTTTGATTTTTTTTTTAATTTTTTTTTTTTTTTTTTTTTTTTTTTTTTGTGGTTGTGCGGAAAATAAATAAATTCAAATTGTGTATTTTTATTATTTTATTATTTTTATTATTTTAATTATTTTTATTGTTTTATTGTGTTTTTTATTTATTTTTTTTTATTAATAAAAATTTTGTATCTGTTTTATTTATTGTTTTCTTGATTTTTTTACATCTTTACTTTTTAATCATATATAGTTATCCAATTAATTAAATTATTATTTCACAATACATCCTTAGATAAAATAATTATACAACATTGGATTTTTTATTATAATAAGAATAATATAAATATAATTAAGAATAATAATAGAAATAATAGTATTAAGAATAATAATAACGACAATAACAATAATAATTAAATAGATAAATAAATAATTATTTTTAATAAAAAAAAATTAATAAAAATAAAATAATTTTAAAAAAAAAAAAAAATTAAAAAAATTTTAAGAAAGTTAAAAATTTTATTTTAAAAATTTAATTTATTTATCAAATGAACAATATTAACAATAGTAACAAAAAGAATATGGGTAACAGCAAAGATAATAATAGAACAAATAATAAAAATAAAAATAGCAATAGCAACAATAACAAAATTGAAAAAACCACGGTGACAGTTCCAACAGCAACTCCAACTCCTCCACCATTAGTTGTAATAGGAACAAAAGAACAACCAACTTCTTCCACTGTTCCACCAAACTCACCATCCACACCATCTACACCATCTACACCACCTACATCATCCACACCATCTGCACCTCCCACACAAAATACACCAGCTTCCACATCAACTACACCACCCACACCAAATTCTAAAAAACCAAGAGGTCAAAGAAGGGGTGGCAATAGACAGCAAAAAGATGAAAATAAAAAAGTTAGTGGCACTACTCCAGTTAATATATCCCCAGCCCCACCACCAACCCCCACTGCTCCAGTAATACCTTCAGTTACACTAACAGAAACAACCACTACTGTTGCAGGCCAATCACAAAATAAAAGAAAAGGAGCAAGAGATAATAGAGATAATAGAGATAATAGAGACAATAGGGATAGTAGAGATAATAGAGACAATAGGGATAGCAGAGATAGTAAAAAAGACAATAGAGATAAAAGAGAAAATAGAGAAAATAGAGAAAATAGAGAAAATAGGGAAAATAAAGATAATGTAGAGAAAGAAAAAGAAAAAGAAAAAGAAAAAGAAAAAGAAAAAGAAAAAGAAAAAGAAAAAGTGGTTATTAAAGAATCAAATATAAATATAAAAAATGAAACAGAACCACAATTAAAAGATAATAATAATAATAATAATAATAATAATAATAATAATAATAATAATAATAATAATAATAATAATAATACAGAAAAAAGAAGAAAAAACAAAAGTAGACCAAATGGTAGTGCCACCAGCAGCAACAACATAAAAAAAGATACAGTTGAAGAAATAGTAAAAAAAACTGAAGAAATTAAAATTTCAACAACAAAACCTGTTGATCCACGACCACAACAAACAAACACACCTACCCCAACTACTGCAGGTAAAGAACTTCACCAACAAAGACAAAGCCACAAAGGGAGAAGCCAAGAAAAAACAGAGATTGGTTCTCCTAAAGTTTTGGCTGCAGAAGTAAATAAAGAGAAATATAGTAACAATAGTAATAATACTAACAATTATATAAATAATAACAAAAATATTAATGCAACTACTACTAGTAATGGTAGCAGAGGCGTTAGAACAAATAACAAATCAAATATTAAAAATAATAATAATAATAATAAAACTACGGATACTAATAGTATAAATAATAAGACTCAAGCACCAAAGGAACCACAATTACCAAAAGAAAATAATAATAATATAAATAGTATAAATAATAATATAAATAATAATAGAAAAAAAGATAATGAGGGAAATTTTGAAAGTGTAAGTGTATTAATATTAATTAAAAATATCAAAATCAAATTCACAAAAACTAATTTTTAATTTTATATTTTTTAGAAATCTGGAAGATTTAAAATATCTTCTATGAAACAAGATACCTTAAAATCAGATCCATCAACAGCTGTAACAACAAATGTAGCTACATCGAAAAATATAAACTCATCTACTTCAAGTCCAGTTTTTGTATCTAAATCATCACCAGCTTCACCATCACATAATATAACCACCACAACTACCACAAGTTCATCAGCAACAGTAAACAGTAAAGAACAGCAACACAAGAAAAAAGGTAATAAAAACCACCACAGAAAAAATCAATCAGTCGATTCAAATAAATCATCAAACGAAACTACTGTAGATTTAAAAGCCTCTGAAATTTCCACAGCAGCTATTACATTGGATACCACATCAAAACAAACACCATCACAACCACAGTTACAATCACAATCACAACCACAATCACAGCCACCACAATCATCGCAACTACCACCACAACCAAAACAATCAAAACCACAAGGAAAGCTTGAAAAAGTTGAGGAAAAAACAGAGACCATAGAAAAATTGACCGTGGAAAATAATATTGCTTCAACACCAGATGTAAAACAAGAAAAAGAAAAAGTCGAAGAGAAAACTGAAATCAAAGTTGAAAAAATAGAAGTAAAGGTCGAAAAAGTACATCAATCACCACCACAAGAGGAAAATAAACTACAAACTATTGAAGCAAATCAACAATACCTTAATTATCAACCACAACACCATATAAACTATCAATACCAACCATCAACACCACAACACCCATATTATCATTTCCAACCTCAACAACACCAACCAGTTTACTACCAACCACAACAACAACATTATCAAGCATATTACCAACCACAACACTCACCAAATAGAAAATCAAATGGTGAATTTAACACAGCATATGATCCAAATACTAAACCACACAAACCAAAAACACCAAAAGCACCAAAAAATCAACAACATCAAATTCCATCTCATTTGCCAATTCCACCACAACAATATTACCATCAATACCAAGGTTATCAAGATCCATTTTATGTTTATGGTCTTTATGGTCCACAATATTATTCACAAGATTATTCACAGGATTATTATTATCCAAATAACCATTATTCCCCAACTGGTGGTTACCCACAACCTTATGCTTATCAACAACAACACTATTCACCACCACAACAATATCATCAACAGCCAACTCACCAAATAACCCAACAACCGGAAACGTATGTTTTACTTTAAATATTATTACATCCATTCAATATTTTTATATACTAATATTTTTTTTTTTTCTTAATTTTAGTGAAAATAAATAAAAAACTTGACAAACTAGATTTTATAAAAATATAAATAAAAAAATATATATAAATTATATATTATATAAAGTGTATATAACTAAAAAAAACCTATAAATTTAGAAATATTTATTTTTAAAAAAAAAAATATTTTATTTTATTTTATTTTATTTTATTTTATTTTATTTTATTTTATTTAATTTTATTTTATTTTATCTTTGTGATAAATAGTGGTTTGGAGTTGGAAAGATACAGCTAATAACAGGGTGGAGCATATATAGCATATAGCGAGGGCAATATCTAGGGCTAAATACATAAAATAAAAAAAAAGGTAATTTTTAATTTTTTTAAAGAAATTCTATACTTACTTTATAAAATTTATATTTAAGAGACATATACATTTATTTATTATTTATTTATTTTGTTTAATAGTTTTAAAATTATACATACCAAAATTTTTTTAATTATAAAACAAAAGTAAAAATTTAAATTGTTTGTAAAAAACTTTTAAAATAAGAATGATTTTTGATATAAAGATTAAATAATTGAAGTGAAAAATTGTAAAACTTGAAATTAATTGCGATCTATTATACTATTTATTTTGTTGATAGACTAGATGGCTCATATTGATATCGAGCTTAAAATTCTAATCAAAAGAAAAGGAAAAAGAGATAAAGAATACACTTTTTAAACAAATGAGTGTTTTAAATGAATTTCAACTATGAAAGCAAATAAAACCACTTGAAAAAGGATTCATCAACAACGTGATTCTCACCCTAATAAATCAAATGACATGATATATAATAAACTTTATAATACCAAATAATGACTGGAATATGTTATTAAAACAAATGTATGTATAATGGGTGGGCGAAAGCAAAAAAAAACAAATTCTTTCAAAATAAATAAACAAAGAAAATTAAGAAAATAATGTTGTATATGACACAAAAGAAAATAAAAATGGAAAAGGAACAAAACAAATTGAACAAGGGTATAAAAAAGACGAGATAACGTTAGATTGTGATTATAATGATCTTGTTTGGCTAATAGTTTAATTACAACTGTGTTTAATACAATGCAAAACAAACACAAGACTGCGATGATAATGATTATACGATAAACATAAAGACCCAAAACAACAAATAACAAATATGGTACAATTATTTTTTTTTTAAATGAAAAAACACATCGAAACAAAAAACATCTTTGGTGTATACAATGATAAAATGATTATGATTATATACAAACACAAATTACAATAATAAATGTATAGGGGGGTGACAGGGGTAACAAGGCAATACTTTACCAAATATTGATAAGTAACTACCCTTCCATATTAGTATACAGGCTATTTCGTTTCCAGTTGAAACTAAATCAATATTAGTTACTTTAATGACTTTCAACTCTCTAAATTTTTCTTAATCGAAAAATGTATCTTCTTTTTGAATTACTCTCTATTTGCCACTTTCTGCTACAAAAGTAGGTTCAATTTCCCTATTTTCTCTCTTTCTCTATATTTTTCATATACTATTTTTTCAATATTCATTTGTTCATTCATCTAACCAAAATTTCTTATTTGACCCCTATACATCAAACTACCTTAAAAACCCAATAAACTACTAAATAAAATTGTTTAAAATTATTACCTATATTAAAAAAAACAAATTAAATCTATGGTTTAATTATTCTATAAAAAGAAAAAAAAAAAAAAAATATCATTTTATTATTAGTAAAAAAATTAAATTTAAAAAGTTGGTGTGTGTATGTGTAGTGGTGCTATTATTATTATTATTTTATATATGTCTCTTTTAGTGTGAATTTTATTATTCATATTAATTTTTTTATTATAGCAATAGTGGATCCTTATATCACCCACTACGTCTACGTGAATTTAAAAAAAAAATTAATAAAATCTTTTTTTTAATTTTTTTTTTTTTTATTTTTTTTAATTTATTTTTTTTTAATTTTTTTATTTTCAAATATTTTTAATTTTTTATTTTATAACATTTTATTTTTTATTATTATAACTCTTATATAAAATATTATAATTTCTTATTACTTATCGAATATTTATTTTAACAATTTTATAATAAATAAAGTAATTAAGAAAAAAAAAAAAAAAAAAGAAAATTAATTTTTGAAATTACATTTTTTTTTTTTTATATTTTCAATCATAACTTTTTTTTTATTTTATTTATTTATTTGTTTATTTATTTATTCTTTGTTGTAATAATATAATATATAGTAATTAATAATTGATAATTAATAACTAATAATTAATAATATAGTTATAATAATTTAATAGTATAAAATGGAAGCAATAGTAACTAAAGTGCTTAAAAAGTACTTTAAACTATTTATTAAAAATTTCAAATCTGATAATTTTTCAATGTCACTTTTGAAGGGTGAAGGAACATTAGTAGATTTAGGTAATTACATATTGGATATTTTATTTTTTAAAAAAAAAAAAGAAAAACAAAAAATTAATTAATATTTTATAAATAGATTTAAATGAGGCCATTATTCAAGAGCTATTATTAATTCCCCCACAATTTCAAGTTACACATGCATCATGTGATTCATTATCAGCAAAAATTCCATGGACAAGTTTTAAAAATACACCAATTGTAATTTCATTGCAAACAATTAATATAAATTTAAAAGAACCCGAGGTCATCGAGCCATTTCTATCACAATTAAAAAAGTAAATACCATTCCTATTATTAGCCTTAATAAGCTTATCATTTTAAATATACTAACGTACTTTATTTATTAGATTCAAAAGTAAAAATAAAGGAAAAAGAAATGAAATTACAGAAAATTTACAAATTGAAGTAAAAAATTTAAATTTAAATATTGCTAGTTTGCATGGTGATACATTAAAAATCGAAATTAAAGATATTGTAATTCAATCAACCAATCAAAATTTCCAAGTAGGTATTATAATTTAATAGGTTATTTCTTTTTTTAATATAAAATGGATCAATACTTATAATTTCAAATTTTATTTTTAGCCAGGAGATTTAGCTTCGATTAAAACTATTGACAAGGAACTAGGTGTTGAATCATTACATAAGTTAATTACAGCAAGTTCGATTTCAATAAAGATTCAAGACTTTGGTGGTATGACAAAAACAATATTAGATAATTTACCATTAAAAGTATTATATTCATCAAAGAGAAGAATTAAAGATTGGATACAAGTTTCAGCAAAGATTGAAGTTTTGTTAAAGAGCTTAAATCTTAAATGGACCCTATCAGAATATCACACATTGAATGATTTAATTAATGGTTTCCAAGCTACATTGGCAAGAGCAATTCCAGCTTCATCACCATCCCAACCTTCAGAATCTTATAGAAAGAAATTAAAATCATCATTATCATTCTCTTCAAGTAAAAAGAAGAATAAAGAGAAATCCGAATTGGCAAGTACAAATTCAAACAACTTAACACCATTAAATGTTACTCCAATGTCTCAAAGTAACAATCAAGCTTTTACCAATGAATCAACTTCACCAATGGTTGTTAACAAACATTTACAACAAGTTCTAGATTCACCTCAATCTTCATCAAGTGTAACCAGTTCAAGTAGCAGTGTAACCAGTTCAACTGGTAATAATAGTGGCGGTACTGGCTCATCACCAATCAATATGAGTACCGATACTATCAATAATGATCTCCCACCACCACCAAAACACTCTGATTTCTCATACGAATTCCATATTGAACGATTCCAATTAGAGATTTTGGATAATTTTGCTCAAGAGGATTCTGGTTTTAGATTCAAGAGTGAAGGTTTACATTGTGCTTTTACTTCAGCCAATACCCTTTCGAAACCAATCAATCCAGAAACCAGTCAACCATACTATACCTTACCAATTCGTGAAACTATTCTCTCTGTTTTATTTAATAGTTTAACAGTTCATGAGATGGCATCATTCAAGAGTAATCAAATTAAAACCGAATTATGTAATACCAATACAGTAGCTGGCTCTGGTAAGCAATATAATAAAGCTATAACATCAATTTCTTCCGACACTATTGTCGAACGTGTCAATATTAATAGCTATAGTGGTCCATGCTTATTAAAAGGAAATTTAATGTTTAGAAGACCAATCACTACTGCAGAAAACCCAGACCCACTCAAAAATTTAGTTGGTCCACCACTTGTTGGTTTAGAATTAAATCTCAATTTAAATGACCTTAAAATTTATGGTGATAGAAAGTGTTGGAAAACTTTAATCTCTTATCTTATGCCACCAGAATCTGATATCGAATCTGATTTAGAATCGGAAGCCTCTGGAACCGATTTTAATGTTCAACAACGTGTTTTGGATTTAGATGGTATTTCTGATACTACCACTACTACAACCCAATCACCAACTAAAAATATTGTAACATCTATTGTGCATGTCGATACCGAGGATAGTAATTCAACTGATGAATCAACCACTGCTCCAACTACTGGTTCTCAAACTGATCCATCCAAATCTCACCACCATAAATCAATTGTCGAAAAGAGTAAGAAGAAAATCAATACATTTAAGAAAAAGTTAAAATTATCATCAAATTGGAAAAATCAAATAAAAATATTATTAAAAGCTAGCAATACTCAAGTTACATTACCAGAAGAAAAGAATGATGATCAAATTTTCAAAGGTCTTAGATTGATTGTTAGTTTAGGTTCATTTGTAATGTGCAATCATAGTGATTGGAAATCAGTTCCCTTCCTTTTAGATGGTCTTCAGTTAATTGATAAGTTTGCTCAATTGGACCCAGTTTCTCATTTTGGTCTTGATCATAGATTTTCATTCCAAATGGAAAATATAACACTATCAGCAATAGATGTTGAGCATGATAACAAGAAAACCATAATCCTCGATCCTGCCACCATCAGTTTATTCCTTCGTATCTCTCGTAGTCAAACCCTTTTAAACAAGCACCAAAAGAGAATTCCAAAGATCGATCTTGCCCTTATTTCATCAGATTTTAAATTCAATTTAACTACTCAGCATTCAGAACTTTTAGACTTTATTGCCAATAAATATTTATCACCAAAGAAATTAAAGAGTCTTCTTAAAGCCAGAATTTCCAAAGAGGCAAAGAAAAGATTAAAGTCATTGGAGGAAAAGAAATTGGATAAAACTTTAACCATAAAGAATAAGGTAGAAAAAACACTTCAAGAATATTATTGGAATGCATTCATCTCAATCCAAAATGGTGATTTCCACTTACCACTTCAACACTTTTTAGAACCAAAAGAAGATAAAGAGGGTGAGGGTGAAGTTGGTACCAATGATGATGGTACAAGTGAATCTATATCATTAACAGACTCACCAATTTCAAATTCATCAACATCGATTGGACCACCACCTGTAGCCTCTATCATTGGAACCATTGTTAAAGATTTAAAGACATCAATTATTCCAGACGATTTAATGACAACACCAAATGGTAATAATGTTAAATTACCAGAAATTCTTAGTCAAATCAAAGTTCAAAACTTGGGTATTGCTCTTCAGAATAATAATTTAGGTCAAACTATCGTTTTCAAAATTGGATCATTCGAAGCATATGGCATTGATCATCCAAAACTTTCAACCTCAACTATTCTCAGACCATTGCCAATTCCAGATGATGAGGTCATTCCAGCAACCAACCAAGATAATACCAATCTTTTAATCACATACAAGAGAAGACAACAAATAAATAGCGAATCAGCAGGCAACGCTATTTTGGTAGATAAAGAGATTGAAGAATGGGTAACTGATGTTTGGGTCAAGCTTCAAGGCACTCAGGTTAGAGTAATGAAAAAGAGATTCCCACAAGGTTACCAAAAACCAAAGGTTAGTCGTAAAAAGATTAAAATGCCAGATATTAAGAATTTTATTACTAAAGTTGTTGGTATGGTTGAAAGAAAGAGAGGTAAAATTAAGAATATACATAAAAATATCAAAAAGGTTAATATGAACATCAAGTGGGGAGTCGAGTTGGGAAATTGTGAAATTCTTTTAGGAGAAAAATCAAAAGTTTTAGGTTCATCAGGTGTTTTAGATGATTTCACAATTGATCCAAATTATCAACCAAAAGGTATAATCAAAATTACAGATACAAATCGTAAAGTAAATGCTCAAGCATACAGAGATATCGAAGATGAATTATTAAAGAAAAATCAAAATTTAACAGAAAATATTATGGTCGATCAAGAAAAAGATGAATATATTAAATCTCTCTTAAAACAAATCGAAACATTAAAACAAGAAAACGATATTGCTTCAAAAGATTACAAGGTTTTAGAAGAAAAATATATTAAAACTAAAATGGATTTAGCCGAATTACAATAAATATAATTCAAACTATAATTAAAAAATATACAATTTCATTTCAATAAAGTTTTTTTTTTTTTATATAATTTAAATTTTTTTTTTGAAACATTAAATAATTTTTTACAAATATACTCATCTGTTTTTTTAGTGGAATTCCAAAAATATTTATTTTATTAAATTTTTTTAAAATTAATTTTAATTTAGAACATTGTTTTAAATTTTTTATAAAATTTCCCAATTTATTAAATTTTTTTAAAAAAATTTCTTTTTAATTTTTTATAATTATTTTATTAATTTTTTATGAGCATATTGCAATATTTCATAAAAAAATGGTAAATTGAATTTAATTATATTATTATTTTTTATTATAGCTTAATAACTTTGTTTTATTATAGTCTAATATAAAATTAAATTATATTAGAGATTATGAAAAAGATTATCAAAATATATGGTTAAAAGAGAAATCTTTTGAAATCGATGCTGTTGAAGAGGAAGAGGACTCAAAATATTATGTATCAACTCCTCTACCTTTTATCGATGGAAATATATTGCTATCTCAAGCGTTAATAGTTTGCAAAGCTGATTTTATGGCTAAATATCAACAATTAAAAGGAAAAAGAGTTTTATTTCCTTTTGGTTTTCATAGCAGTAATAAAGCTTTTAAAAGATGGGCTGATTCGTTAAAGAGTGAAATAGAACAGTATGGTAACCCGCCCAATTTTCCAAATGAAGATAATAAAGCTAAGGGACGTTATGTTATCAAGAAATTCTATCAATGGAATTATATGAAATCTTTCAATATTCCAGAAGAAGAAATCAGTAAATTTGTAGACCCCCAATATTGTTTTAGTTATTTTTCAAGAAATTACGAACGTGACCTTAAATCTCTGGGCATTGGTATTGATTGGCGTCGTTCATTTTATACAAGCAGAGTCAACAAATACTATAGCTCTTTTATAGGATGGCAGTTTGAAACATTGAAGCAATTGGGTAAAATTAAATATGGTAAACGTTATAGTATATGGTCACCAATGGATAATCAATATTGCTCCAATCAAGACAGGTTGGAGGGTGAGGCTGAAGTTGTAACAACTCTAACATTAATTAAGCTTTTGGTTCAAGAATTGACAAGTATTCTTAAAGAAAAGTTAAATGGTTATAAAAAGGTTTATTTAGTTTCAGGTACTCTCAGACCTGAACTATGTTATGGTGTTACAAATTGCTGGGTTTTACCAGATGAATTATATGGTGCTTATGAAATGGCTAATGGTGATGTGTTTATATGCAACCAAAGTTCAATTAGAAATATGTCTTTTCAAGATTTAACTAAAAATAGAGGAGAATATCCCTGTATATCTCAATTTAATGGTTCTGACCTAATAGGTACCGTTGTAGTACCACCTCTATCAATTCATAAAGGTGTATATGTACTGCCAATGGTATCAATGAATCAAAATAAAGGTACAGGTATTTCTATATCAGTTCCATCAGACTCACCAAAAGATTGTGTTGCACTACAAGATTTACTTACAAAAGAAGCATATCGTTCAAAATATAAAGTTCAATATGAATGGATACAGTTTGAAATTATTCCAATCATTGATATACCAGGTTTTTCAAATTTATGTGCAATTAATTTAACTAATAGATATGAAATTAAATCTCAAAATGATAAAATAAAAATAGAAAGAGCAAATGAAGAGTGCTATATAAAAGGCTATAATGATGGTGTAATGATGGTGGGTAAATACAAAGGCCATAAGGTTAGTCAAGCAAAGGAAATGATTAGAGATGAATTGATTTCATCTGGTGATGCAATCGAATATGCCGAGACCTGTTCAAAAGTAGTTTCTCGTTCTGGTGAAGAATGTGTCGTTGCTCTAATAAGCCAATGGTATATAGCTTATGGTGATGATGATATTGTGTGGATGAACAAGGTGGATCAGCAAATAGAAGAAATGGAGTTGTATAATGTTGAAACAAAAAATAGATTAAAATATGCATTGCAATTTATACGTCAGTGGAGTTGCTCACATAGGTTCGGTCTAGGTTCTATTATGCCGTGGAATGAAAAGCTAACTATTGACTCATTATCAGACTCAACACTATATACAGTGTTTAGTACTATTGCACATTTGCTTCAAGGTGATTTTGAAGGAAGCAAACCTGGTATTGCAGATATAACCCCTGAGAAAATGACGCACCAAGTTTGGGATTATGTGCTACTTAACAAAGATTATCCAGAAGATTGTAGTATTTCAAAAGAGACTCTATCTCTATTAAAAAAAGAATTTCAATATTGGTATCCAGTTGATTTTGTAGTCTCTAGTTCAGCTCTAGTCCATAATCATATTTTATTCTTTCTTTATACACACATTGCAATTTTTAGTAATTCAAAGAACAATTTGCAACCAAAGTGTATACGGGCTGTTGCTGACATTAGAAATGAAAAAATGACAATGCAAGAGTTTAATCGTTATCAAACTGTTTCAGATTCAATAAAAGCATACTCAGCAGATGGATGCAGAATGGTTTTAGTAGATGCAGGTGATGGTTTTGACCCAACATCCATTAATAATCAATTGGGCTATAGTTCAATTTTGAAATTTTATGCATATATTGAATGGGTTCAAGAGATAATTGACACTATAAATCAACTAAACAGTGGACCACCTACTGCGTTCCAAGATATTGTATTTGATAGTGAAATTAACAAAATTATTATAGAGTCAGATAAAGCTTACGAAAAATCAAATTTTAGAGATGTTGTACATTTAGTTTTCTATCAACTTTTAAATGCTCGAGATCATTACAAAATTTCAGCACAATATTCAAACCAAGCAATAAACAAACAACTCATTTTGAAATTTATAGAAATACAAGCAATTTTATTTTATCCAATAGCCCCACATTTCAGTCAGAAAATATTTCACCTATTAAATAAAGGAGATATACTTAATGCTCGTTGGCCCACACCCGGTCCTGTTCATTATATCGAATTAAAAAAAGATTTATATCTAAAACGTAATATCCACAACTTTAGGAAATCATTAACACAGTTTCGAAAAGATAAAAAAAATAACAGTTTAATCCCAAGTATATCGACTATTTACTATACCAGAAAATATCCAGTGTGGCAAGAAGAGGCTATAAACTATCTCACTTCAATTTATGAAAACCAATCTTTAAATGCAGATAACACTGTCATAGTAAATGAGCTAAAGAGTAGAAGTGACCTTAAACCACATATCAAGGATATTATGGGGTATATAGAAAAGATGCGTCAAGATATGAAAGAAATAGGTAAAGAGGCTTTTGTAAACTTGGATGAATATCAAATCCTCACTGAAAATGCATATTATATTTCCAATGCATTGGGAATTGGTTTAATAGATATCCAAGAGTATACAAATGATATTAAATCATCTGGTAATAAAATCCCGCAATTAGGATATCCAACAATATCTTTTATTTAAATAAATTTAAAAACAAAATGTAAATAAAAATGTATAATATATTTAACAAGTAAAAATAATAATAGCAAACATTACTATTATTTAATTGGATTTATCTTATTTTGTTATATTTTAATAATAGCAGTGGTCACAACAAAATCTATTACCAGCTTTAACTATGTGATTACCATCTCCTTTGCATGTAAGTTTTTTGGGACAAACGACACTATTACAATCCAACACACAGTCATAACAACATACACCTGGATACTTGTAGAATGAATATTCTCTTGGGCATTCAAAGTTACCCGGACATACGGCATGTGTACAATCTATTTCTTCAGCCAAAATACTGGAAATTCCGAAAACTATGAATAATAAAACAAAAAATTTACCAATTAACATTTCTTTATTTCTTTTCTTTATTTCTCTTCTTTTTTTTTTTTTTTTTTTTTTTCTTATTTTTGAATGGTTTAAACTTTAAAAATTTTTGTTTAAATAGTTGAAATTATTATAAAACTATTATTTATCTTTATTTTTTCTATAACTCTTATTTATTATTACATAATAAAACATAATATTATATATCCATTGTTAAAGATACTCTTGGAGTACTAGGATATTTATTTATCTATAAAAAATTATTAGAACCCCTTAAATAATAATAATAATTTAATTAATTTTAGGAACTAAATTCAAAAATTTCCACTTTTAATATTATAAATTGATTTGTTATTTTATTTCCATTTATTTCTTTGCCTGGTGTTTTTTTAAATAAAATTTAAAAAATCAAATATTTGATTTTAATTTTCAAAAAAAAAAAAATAAAAAAAATAAATATAAAATAAAAAAAAATAAAAAAAAAAAATTTTAATTTTTTTATAAAATATTTTTAATTTTTTTTTTTTGGATTTTTTTAATAATTATTAAAATAACATATTTGTTAATCATTAATATAAATATAACTATAAATATATATATTAAATATATATAAATATAATATATAAATATATATTGTTTTGTTATCTATATGTATGATATTCAATTAATATAAATATTATATTATTATAACGAAATAATTATATAATTATTTTTTATTATTGTTTTTTTTATTTTCTTTATTTTTTTATAATAATTAACTATAAAATATAATAATTAATAATACTAAATAATACATATAATAGTAATTTATTTATAATAATAAAAAATGAAACCAAGTCAAATTATAACAGGGTCTGCAAATCCTGATCCATCAACATTTTCATATACAATTTATGATGATGATGTTTATTATTCATATTCATCCGGAAGTAATGTTTATATACTGAAGGGGGTTTCATTGAAGGTTATTCAAGTATTAACAGGTCACCAAAGCGATGTTACATGCATATCTTGGTTATCAAACGATCCAAAACTATTAACATCATCAAATAACGAAATTTTTTTATATACTTTAAACAAAGAGAAGTTTTTATGGGAACATGTTTTCACCATTCCATGTCAATTTGAAATCACATCGATGTCGTGGTTACAAACAAATTCATTTATAGTGGGTGGGTCCAACCAAATCGTAAAGTGGAAGTTTGATATTAATGCAATTATGAAAAACTACTATATTAAAAAACAACAAGAAATTATAACTCAACAACAGCAACAATCAGGTACATCATTGCCATCACTCTCAAAATCACAATTTGGTATATCTCAACAACAGCAACAAGACTCTGACGAATTTAGTTCAACTTTTACAACCAAAGCCTTCAACTTAAATAGTAGCGGCAGCAATACACCAACAAATTCAACCCAGGTTAGAAATGATAAATTTTTATTGGACCAAAAACTAAAAGAACAAAAACTCTTTAATAAGCAAGCACAAATGGTTTGGAAAACTGACTGTTCCAGCTCTATAGCCCATTTAGCATGTTCACCAGATGGTTCACTATTTGCAACTTGTGGTAAATTTGATCGTATGATTAAAATTTGGTTTCTTCAGAAAAAGTCTCAGGCTAAACTCATTGCCGAGGAGCAACAATTAAAATTACAACAAGAACAATTATCACTATTACAACAACGTGAAGAATTAGCAAAGCAAAAAAATAGCAAAGGTTTTTATAAAGAACAGTTTAACAAACTTTTAAGCAAAGAACCAACTTTTAAATTATCCAAGAAGCAAACAAATAACGATGAAGATGAAAACGATATAACTAGTAGCATCATTTCAAAGAAACCCATTAACACCAATCCAGAAGAAAAAGAGCCAACTTTAGAGGAAAAACAAAAGCAATTGGATTCTCTCAAGGAGTTATTACAAAAACAAAAGAATAAAAAGTTTGAACAAGAATCATATGGTTTTATTTATTTGCCACACCCAAGATCAGTCACATGGGTATCTTGGAGAAATAGAAAAACAGCTTCACACAATATACTTTTAACTAATTGTAAAGATGGTGTCGTTCGTTTATGGCAACAATCACCTCAATCAAGAAGATTACAATTTAATGTATCAAATATCATCCCTTCAAATTCAGATGTTATCGATTGGGTCTATAGTCAACATGATGATAAATTTGATTTATTAAATAAAAAGAAACCTAATAATGAAGACTCTTCAAATAATAGTACTGGTAGCAATCCTAGTTCAAACAATCCAAATAATAGATCAACATCAAAAAATAATGGTACAGATTCTGACCCAAATAGTGACGATTCAAACTCGTATTTAAGAAGCCATGATTTTAAATTACATTTAACCAATCCAATACTTTTAAGACAAAAAGACTCATTAGCTAAAACTAAACAAATAGTCGATTGGATTATAGGCATCAAGTTAGATGGTTCATTAGTATTATGGAAATTAAAGACTGACGATTCAATGACTAAACAGACATCATCTATTTCACTTTGGATTAATAGCCAAATTTTATCACCACAGGAGGTTGGACCAAACCGTATTATCTCACATTATCAAGCTATGCCATCATCTGATTACACACCTGGTTCAATTAAGGTTTGTTTTAATTCTTTTAATGGTGCAATTTCATCTAGAAGATTTTATATACAAAATCACAATCAAACTCAAATGTAAATATTGTAATCTTAAAGTACAATAATATACTATTCAATACAAAATTAACAAATTATCATTTTTTTTTTTTATAGTTCAAATGCATCACCAGTATCAAGATGTTATGGTCATGAGAGCACAATTAAAAAAATGTCGACATCATTAACCTCACCATATTTATCATCATTAGATAGTAAAAACAATATTATTATTTGGAACTCAACAGATTCAAGTGTAAGTTACATATTTTAAATCTTTATTAAATTTTAAAAATTAAAAACCCATATTAATTTATTTTTTATTTTTTTAGAAAATTCAATCACCAAACTTTTTAATTGATATTGGATCATTTACATCCTATTATTCAATGGCATGGTCACCAAATCAAAAGTTTTGTTTCTTTTCTAATGTTGATGGTATATTTGTATATTATATAGAAGTATCACAAGAAAATCATATAAAGTCATCTCTATTATCAATCGGTCTTGTTGAAGAGTCAGTTCTTGAAGATGATTGGATTGATGAAGTCCATGTAGTAGAGCCATTCAATTTACTTTATTACTATGATGTTAAAAATAGTAACCAAGACAACTTGTATTTACCATATCAATTCTTTTTAGTTGGTTTAAATAAACATTCTGACAAAATTTATATATGGGGTGTTAATATCGAAAGAGATTTAAGATACTCATCAGCTTCTTCTCCATCCATCTTAAAATCCAAACTATTAGCAACTAAAGAGTTTGAAAGAGATTCAAGAGTTTCGTGTATTTGTGCTGCTCCAAAAGGTATCTTTGACTATTCCGTAAAACCACCACAAAAGAATGATTATGCCATTGACGACGATGACAGAGTCGTATTAACCCATCCAATTTGTATCATTGGTACTATTGATGGCTATGTATCCGTTTTGGGTATTACTCCTAAGGTTAAAACAAATAATGGCGAGGTCGAATATGAAGATTGGGAAATTAGTGAAATGGTTGGCTATGCTGCCTATCAACAACCAGTCGAATCTGTTAAACCAGCATACTTTGGAAGATTTGCTTCAAAAGCTTTTTCATCAAACATGAATCCAGAAATTCATATTTGGGAATTAGAATCTCATACACCAAAGTTACGTCTCGAAGATACCATTAGATTTTTCTCTGAACAAACTGAACAATCAGTAGTTACATCACCCACTGCTACATCACCAATTGGCGCTACTCTTAATGTCAAATCTCCAATAGCTACATCCATTCCATTAAAAACAAGTGGTGCTACCAATGATGATTCAATCGAGTGCTCATTCAGTTTTGCATCTTTGGATGATGGCAACTACTCTATTGCTATAGGTTATGGAAATCAAGTTAAAATTCTAACAAGACCAATCGATAGAACTATTGGTAGTTATAAGAAACCATGGATACAAACTCATTATTATGACGATTTAACTTCACCCTGTACTTGTATTGCTTGGGGCAAAGATCTTTCATTGTATGTTAGTGCCGGTAACCAAATTTTAGTATTTACCAAATGGAGCAAAATTAACGAAAATACTGCTTTATTAAGTCAAATGGGTAACAACTGTACTAGTCTAAATTCAATATACCATCAACATTCAGAACTCACAAGACCACTTCCATTATATCACCCAAAATTCTTGACAGAATATATGATGGCAGGTAAATTTGGTGTTGTTGAAAAAATTCTTAAATATATTTTCAATTACTTATTTGAAAAATATGGCGATCTCGATAATATACCAAAAACCCCAGAACACATTCCGCCATTATCAATAGAAGAAATTGTCCATTATAACGAATTTGACGGTAGCAATAATAAAAAAGCAGGTACAAGTGATGATGTAGATAAAATGAACTCTAAATACTATGACAGAGATTACGGTAATGACGATTACGACGATGAAGATGACGACGAAAAAGATAAAGATTTATTCCTAAATCTCGATGGTAAATTTAACAAGAAACAAGCTCAAAAATTAAATGAAATTTTATCATCAATTAAACTAGCATATCTCACAAGCAATGAACAAATTCAACTTTTAGCAGTCACTGATACCTATGGCGAAATTGGTGAAATGAGAGGCGGTCTCGATGAAAATGGTTCAAGATTCCTTTTATCAGCCAAAGTATTCCAGTTCCTTCGTCGTTCTCTTCCACCACAAGATAGACCAATCTCATTAAGTACCACCGATATTCTCTGGGCATTGCACAGCGAAGCCCAAGAAACCATTTTACAAGCATGCTTCCCAACCGATCCAGATTGGAACGCACTCAAACAAATTGGTGCTGGTCTTTGGATTAAATCACCTTCAACTCTTAGAAATGTTGTCGAAAAACTAGCTAAAACCACCTATATCAATTCAAAAGATCCAAGAGAATGCTCACTTTACTATATGGCTCTTAAAAAGAAAGGTGCTTTGGTAGCTTTACATAAAGCTAATAAAGACGTTAAACAAGTCGAATTCCTTCAACAAGATTTTACACAAGCCAAATGGATCACTGCTGCAAATAAGAGTGCTTTCCTTTTACAAAGTAAACATAAATACGATTTAGCTGCTTCTCTTTTCCTTTTAGCTGGCCAATTAAAGAAAGCTGTAAATTTAATTATTCAAATGCAAGGTGATTTCCAATTGGCTCTTGTTATCAGTAGATTATATGAAGGTGAAAATGGTGAAGTCTCAAAAATGATTATTGAAGAACACATTATTCCACAAGCCAAAAAGACAAACGATCGTTCATTATTAAGCATTGCTAATTGGTTACTTAAAAAATATGAAGATGCAATTCAAGTATTAATTCCATCAGTCTCAATTGACAGTGATCGTAAATTAGATGAAAATAATGATATTTTTTCACCATTATTAACTGGTGGTTCACCAAACTTCTCCTCTCGTAATTCAACAGTATCATCGCCAATAGCACGTTCACAAAGCGGCATTTCAACCATTACCTCTTCAGTTCAACAAACCAGTTCCTCGTTAATGTCACAACAACTACGTGTTTCTGAAATGGGTCCTTCAACACTTTACTTTTTCAGATTCCTTAAGAATCATGTTCAACTTAGACTTTTACCTGAAGATAAAAAAAAAGAAGATCCATTCCTTAGAAGTAGTTCCTACAGTTATTTCAATAGTGGTTGCTCATTATTAGCTCTTGAAAATATAGAACAATTAGAAAAATCACATCCTAAAATTCTTTCAAATAAACAAGAACGTGAAGAATATGAAAAACAAAAGCAAGAAGAAGAAGCAAAAGAAAGGGAAAAACAATTGGAAATTGAAAAACAAAAACAGAAACAAAATTCAAATGATTTAGGTTTAGATTTTGGTGGTGGTGGCGGTAGTAACTCCAATGGTTTCTTTAATAGTAGTAATTATGATATGGGTTTAGATTTTGGCGGTGGTAGTAGTTCAAGCTTCTTTAATAATAACAGTAAACCATCCAACGATTTAGGTTTAGATTTTGGTGGTGGCAGTAGTTCAAGTTTCTTTAGTAGTAACAATGATAGCAAACCATCAAATGATTTAGGTTTAGATTTCGGTGGTGGTAGCAATAGTACTAACTCAATGTTCCAATCAAATAGTATGGGCTTAGATTTTGGCCCATCTACAACCTCAACATCATCAAACAGTAATACCATGGGTTTAGATTTTGGTCCATCTACAACTTCAACATCATCAAATATTATGGGTTTAGACTTTGGCCCATCTACAACTTCAACATCATCAAACAGTAATACCATGGGTTTAGATTTTGGTCCATCTACAACCTCAACATCATCAAATAGTAATACTATGGGCTTAGATTTTGGTCCATCTACAACAACTACATCAAATAATTGGGATTTCTTAGATACAAAACCAAAAGAAGAATTAATGAAAGAACAAGAAGAACAAGAAAAAATTAAAGAAAAAGAATCTATTATTGTCCCAACTATTGAAGTAAATTCACAAGCCGTATCAACAGTATCAAATAAAAAAGGAAAATTATCATTATTCCCATTGATTGATAATGAATTCAAATCCAAACTAGTTGTTAAAGTTTTAATTGAAACCATTATGGAAACAAGAGAATCAAATTCTTGGGATGAAAAATCAAATGAATTCAAAGAAACATTAGAATTTTTATGTAAAAAGAATAATTTAGTAGAAAAGGAAATTGTGAAATGTTTAATAGAATTTTGTTTAAATAGACAATATATTTATCAAGTAACAAAGCTATCTCAAATATTTGGTGGTGAAAATGCATCATTAGAAGCATTAGACTCAATTTCAACCAGTATTATAAAATCATTACTTAGATTTGATGATGATAACAAATTAATGATTGCCAACGCCGGTGCATCACAATCTTTACAAATTCTATCTCAAGAACTGTACAATAGTGTTTTATCATTACGTGAAGAAAACCATAGCAATGCTCTCTTATTAACAACTGTTTATCTAATGATATTTTTATTGGGTAATGGCGCTCATAGATACGATATTCTTTTATCTTTATACGAAAACAAATCCAAACCAATTAGTAATCTTATGTCTGTTTTAAAATCATTACCATTAAGAAACTACAAAGATGACTCATTAGTAAATGAAGATGATGAAGATGAAGACGATGACGACGACGAAGAAGTTTTAGATGAAGCCGCTAAAAAGAAACTACAAGAAGAAAATACCATTACCATCCGTTTTGTAAAGAGATTCTTCGACTACATGACAGTTAAATATTTTAAATCGTGCTTTGAAGAACTTGTCAAGATTATTCCATATCACGAAGTGTTTGACTCTGTATTCCAACGTCTTACCCTTTGGATAGGATCCTCACAAACCAAATTAGTTGTAGTACCACAAAAAATTTTAGATGTATTTGTAAAGAATCCACAAACCAGTAATACCGATAACTTTTTAGATGCCATCAGAGTATACAAAGAATTTAACTCTGCTGATCAAATGAAGGTTTGGGAAATTTTGGTAAAGAATGAAAAAGAAACTTTAGAGCATATTATTTTAGGAATTGACCCTAATCCTCAACAACAAGATAAAGATAAAGATAAATCCTCAAAGAATGAACAACTACCAGTAATGAGAAAGATTAGTAGCCAAACCCAATTCCCAACAGGTACAGGTAAAATTAAATTTGAAGAAGAGACAGAACTTTATAAAGATGGTGATATTTTACAATCATTCTGCTTAGACCCAACCTCACCTGAACTTAATGTTATGGCTATTGCCACTACCCGTGGTATTCGTGAAATCGATTTGAAACAGTTGGTTCACGAAGCTAGAGATGAGTATGATATTGATCCATCCGAAAACCTTAGTTCCTCATCACATGGAAAGAAACCACGTATCACAGGCAAATCCGCTTCATCACTTCATATATCAAAGAGTAAAATTGGTGGTGTATTTGGTGGTCTTCGTTCAAACAAACCAGTTGATCACAATATTATTGTTCAATGTTTAGAAAGTCATCCAAACTCATCTTTTTATTTATCTGGAGGTATTGATGGCTCTGTATGTTTATGGCAATTCGGTATACCAGAAGTTTTAACTGCATATCAATTACCACAAAAACCAAGAATCGTTCGTTGTAAATTTAATCAAAGCGGAACTAAATTCGGTGCTTGTGATATGGCTGGTAATATTTTATTATGGCAATTTGCAGCTCAAGAGGATACCTTAAAACCATTCTACCAATTGCAAGCTCATAGCAAACAAACTCTCGATTTTACCTTCTTAAATAGTGGTAGTCTATTGGCCACTGCAGGTATTAGTAATGACAGTAAACGTGATATTTGTTTATGGGATGTTCTTTTACCACCAAGTAAATCGCTCATTGCTTCCTATACTGACCAAGAAAATGGTGCATCGTCGATTGTTTATTCTCCAAAACGTCAAACTATAATAGTTGGTGGTAAAAAAGGTTCACTCTCTCTCTACGATATTCGTACCCACAGACAATTAGAAAGTTTCAAAGCTCATCAACTCAACACTAAAACATTAGCATTAGATCCATTTGAAGAATTTATTTGTAGTGGTAGTAGTGATGGTAATATTAAAGTTTGGTCATTACCATCAATGACTTGTTTAAATACTTTTGAAGATTCTCATAAAAAACAAACCTTTGTACGTCCAACTGGTGTATTCAAATCTCCAGTATCGACATATGGTGTAATGCAAGTTAGGTTAGAAAACAACTCTATGTTTTCATGTGGTGCTGATGGAAGACTTACTCGTAGACGCTTCTTTAAACTTTAAAAAAAATAAAATAATAATTTAACAATATAATATTTAATAACATATAATAACATTCGCTTATAAAAACACTATTTTAATATTTATTTAATAGAATCAAAAAATAAATATATAATTCATATATTTTATTTATTTAAATAATTATTATATCTTTTTTTTTTTTTTTTAAAAAACTATTTTTATTTTATATTTTTTTTTCTTTTTTTTTTCTGTATATATATAAATTGATATTATTTTATGGAAGTTTTGAAACAGCAAGAGTAATTTTTTGATTGTGTTGAATGAAAATATTACTAAAAATAAAAAATAAAAGGTTAATATAAATAGAATTTCTATAGTAATTTCTAAAAATAAATTCTTACGTAGTATCAGTTTCGATTGTAACAGAGGCAACTTCGGAACCTTCTGATAATTGTCTGGATTTATCTAATAATGATTTATAAAAACCTGCATTATTATTTTGACCTGGACCATGAGCTAAAAGTGTTATAAAACAGGGTTAGAAATCTAAAAATTCGTTTTATAAATGGTCATTCATTGAATAAATAAATAAATACCTTTTAAACAAAGTCCATTTTCATCAACAACTGAATATCCAACAACACCATTTTGTTGTGAGCTATTTAAAAAAAAGAAAAAAAGAAAATTATTATTAGTTTGCTGTTGCATAATCAATCGTTTTATTGTTTTATATAACTATAGTAATCATAATAACCATAATAATCACAATGTTAAATAGTTATTATTTTTATTAATATTATTAATATTATTAATATTTCTTTATTAAATAACTATAAAACTATTTAACACATATAATGAAGTTACAGTCATTATGATTGTGATTATTTTTATTGTTGTAATTATTTTAAAAAAAAACTAAAAAAATTTTAAATGAATCATACAGGTGATTAAAAGTTTCTGATAATTGTTTATCCATCTTATATAGTTTGCTTTTATCTAATTTAATTTTATAAAATAAAAAAAGAAAAAAAAAAAGTTTAAAGAAAAAGAAAATAAATTTTAAAAAAAAAAAAAATAAAAAAAATTAAAAAAATAAAAAATATTTTTTTTAATTTTTTATTTTTTATTTTTTTTAAATTTATTTTCTTTTCAATATTAAAAAAATCAGTAATCGAAATCATAAAGCAATTATACCAATCATATATTGATATTTTTATTGTTTTATATTTATTGTAACATAGTTTATTTATTTATTTATATATATTAATATATTTCAAAGTTCTGAATGAATGGATGGAGATAATCAATCAGTTATCCCGGCAAGTGGTTCATGGAGAAAACTAGCATTGGTGACAGGGAAAAGATATAAAAAGAATTTAATTTCATTCGAAAGACTACTAGATAGAACCATAGATAATATATCAACTGCTACTCAATCAAATGTAATTAAAAAAAATAAAAAAAATTTTAAAATTTAAAATTTAAATATTAAAAAAAAATCATTTATTTTTACAATTTAGATTTCAAACCAAATTTTAATATCAGATACATCAACAAAAAGAGATGTTTGTAGAGTTGTACAGGTTAAAAAATCAGAAAAAACTTCAATTGAAAGCAAACCACTCGTAACAGTTGTAAAAGAGTTTATACAAGAATCAACATTTAAATCATTATCATGGTTTAACGATTCAATGATTGCAGGTTCAATAGATGGCCAAATATTTTACTATCAAAATAACCCAAATTCAACAGACGATCCTGAATTAAGAGAAACATTTATACACACAAAACTTAAAGGTATTAAAGAGGTATCTCAAACTATTGGTTCAACAGGTTTTAATACAGTAGTTAAATCAGTATCAATTAATAAATTGAATCCAGAAACATTTTCATCGTTAGAGAATAACTACTATCATATTTGGGATTTCTCGGATGCAGTTCGTCCAACTATTTCATATAAAGTTTCAGATCAACCAATTTATTGTTCAAAATGGTCACCACATTCAAAAAACTACTCATTAATTGGTGGTTCTGAAAATTCCATAAGAATAACAGATACTAGATTAATGAGTAGCTATGGTACAACTAGAAAATCACCAACTGTTTGGAGCAACCATTTATCGGCCAATTCAACCAATACATCATCATTACTCTCAACTGTTTCTGTTAAAAATGTCGCATGGCATCCATTTGTACCCTATTGGTTCGCATCAGCAAGCGATAATGGTGAAATTTCAATGTGGGATCTTCGTTCAACTGCCGAGCCAATTATTAGTTTCTTTGGTCATTCAAGTTCAATTTCAAATATCGACTGGTGTCCTACTCATAGCGAACTATTGGTTAGTTCGGGTATCGATGGTGAATATAAAATGTGGAGTCTCATGAATGAACCACACTACAACCTATTTCAAAAGGATGAAGTATCACCTTTTATTTACTCTGGTTTCTTTGAAAATGATGGTTATAATAATTTTGGTGTTAATCAAGCCGGTGAAATTTACTATGCAGATATCAATCCTAAATTTATGAATCCAATTATTCACTCAAAATTTGAAAAAAAAGAAAAATCAGAAAGAGTAGCAGAACATTTAATTTATAATAGAGATTTCACTCAAGGTTTCGAAAAAGCAATTCAATTAGCAAATAAACACTCAAGAACAGGAACTACAGAAAGCCTTGAAAAAGCTAAAACTCTTCTTTCGCTTTGTTTCCAACAAAACATCGATGATAGTTTATCTGACGTATTAAAATCAACAATACTCAAAGTAAATTGTAAAAAAGAAACACTCAAAGAAATTGAAGCATATGCCTACTATATTCCTCCAACCTATTATGAAAAATACTCCACACAACTATCAACCAATTTAATGACCAAAATTAAAGAGCTTAAAGTAAACCTCGATATTCAATATCATATCAAGAGTTTCAAGGGTGGTGAGGAAATAACAGATATCGAACGTGATGTGCTCATGATATTAAAGGGTGACCATAATAGTATAAGAATGGAAACAATTTTAGAATTAGTAGAGGTACTTTTAAATTATAACACAACCAAATGCTTCCAATTTGCAATTCAAGTAGTAGAAATATTTAAAACAAAGCTTAATTATTGTATGCCAATCGTTCGTCTACTCTTACACCCAAGTATATTTGAAAAGAAATACCAATTAGGAGACTCGACCAATAGTTTGGGTAGTCCACTTTTAAACACTAGTGGCACAATTGAAAAACCATCATCTCTATCATCATCATCACCATCCATCTCATCTAATACTCCACCACCAGCATCACCATTTAAAAAAGATCATATTAGAAGTGGTTCTGTTTCAAGTGGGGCCAATAATAGCAATAGTAATAGTAATACCCCCTCACCATCATTGGGAAGATCTACTCCCAGTGGTGGAGGTCTAAGAGATTCATCTGGCTCAGTACCACCACCAATCGTTTATGGTAACGGAGATTTGGAGGAAATGAAACTTAATGAATACTTGACCAATGCCGATCAAATTATTCAACAACTATCTTTCATGAAAGACTTTTTACGACTTTTAAATAGCCCAACCCCAATTAAGGATGCAAGTATGGGACCAGATGTAGATGATATTATCGACTTCTCTTCTAAAAATAGACTAAACATCGTTCTTTCAATGCCAATCAATAGAATTTATTTAGAAATACTTCAATCTTTTCATATTTTCGATCAATTTTATATAATCCTATTCAACCTTTTAAATGCAGTCACCGAAGAATTCGAATTTAACCAATATTTAAATGAACGCTATGAAATCTTAACTCCAGAGTTTTTATATTATATTAAAGAAAGTCAAACCAGAGATAAACTAAAAGTATACGATACAGAACGTTATTCAACTCCACTCTTAACAATTGTTTCTATTCTTTATAATGTTCAACCACAAGCAATTCCATTAGAGCTTTATGAAACTCTTTTACAATCATTACCAGTTTTCATCGAAGAAATTGATAACTCTCTTATATCTACTATACAACAACCCGACCCATCAAGCCATCTACCAGGTAAAGCTCAATCTACCCAGAAGGCTCAATCAATAGCAGACTCCATTAAAAATATTACAACCGAAAAACTACCACCTTCAACTCCTGGTTTAAATAGAAGATCTGTAGCACTCTCGAAACCAATATCTCCACAATCTAGTTCATCTAAAATTTCACCCGAACTAGCTACTCAATTACAAAACCTTAATACAGTTTTAAACAAATATATATACTAAAAATATAAATTATAAATAAATATTTTTTTTTATTTTTTTGGTTATTTAACTGAATTTCTTAAAAAAATAGCCCTGTCAGATTGCCCTAAAATATTGCTCTAAAATTTGTTACTTTATTTGAAAAACAGAAGATATGGTAAAAAAAAAGACATTTGTATTGAAAAAAATACTTATACATGTCGATGATTTGAAAAAAAATAAAAAAAAACAAAGGAAATTGAATTTATTTATTTACAGGTATATGCACTAAAATTACATTGATTAAATAATATTTGACAAATTATTGATGGTTTGAAAAGAAACTCTATAAAACTTTTTCAAATAACTCAACAGCTTCTTTTGGAGCAGTTTTTCTTATGATTACTGAAAAGAAACAATGGAGATGGGTTTCATTACCAGAAGTACCGACAATAATTGGCCATTTTGATTTTGCTGGAATTAAATAATCTGTTGGTTGTAAAAAACGAGCTGTAATCAAAAAAAAAACAAATGATAAATTAGATTTAAAAAAAATGAAAAGGATAATTAATAGTTTTACTTACTTCTACCCTTGACAGTTTCACAAATATCAAAACATTTATCGTATGATGGCATATTAAACTTCTCTGCCATAATTTTACAAAGATCTCTGGCGGTATCAGTATTTGAAACTTTAACACTTTTATAGGATTCACCTCTAAAGAAAACCTTTAAAACTTCGGAGGAATTCATTAAAATGCCACCCTTAACAGTATCATATCCAGACATCTTTGGTGAGGTTGCTGATGAGGCACCACTGGTACTTGCAGACTCTACCATCTGTCTCTTTAAAGTTGAAACCTGTTGTTGATATTGCTCTTCTTTTTGCTTGATTTCTTTTTGTTGTTCTTCCAATTGTTCTTCAGATTGGGAAGTTTTACCCTCAGATGCTAGTACCATTTCTCTTTGAAACCAACCTTGAGCATAATCGTATGGTGCAAAACCATTATTATCTTGAATTTTAATATTACCACCATGACGAATTAACCACAATGCTAAAATATCGTATCTGTTGGTTACCAAAGAGTGCAATGGTGTTACACCTCTATTATCTTGTACATTAACATCTGCTCCTCTTGATACTAAAAGTTCGATAATTTGTTTATTTCCCCTTGAACATGCTATATGTAACGCTGTTGTACCCTTGTCAAACTCCATCATATTGATATCAACACCACAATCTAAAATTTCTCTTAATTTTTTTGTATCATTATTTGCTGCACTTTTAATTAAGTCATAATCAAACTTTTCTAACATTTTTTATTTTTTTACTATTTTATTATTAATATTATTTATACTATTATTTTTACTATTATTTAGTTTAAAGTCTTTAAATTGCGAATAATAAAACTGAAATTATAAAAATAAAATTTAAAAAAAAAAAAATTTTAAAAAAATTTTTTAAAAAAAAACCTACTTAAAAAATGGGTTGATGGTTTTATAATAATAATAATATTTAAAAAACAAATAAAATGAGTGTTAACACAAACCATTATTTATCTATTAGGATTTTTTTTTTTTTATAATTTATTATATATAAATATATTGTTTTTATTTTTTTATTATATTTTTTTTTTTTAAATTTTTTTTGAATCTTTTTTATTTATATCATTCCATTATTTATTTATTTATTATTTATTATTTAATTTTATTATTTAACAAAAACTTCAGAAACATCTTTTAATAAAGCTACTCTAGTACGAGATAATTTTACACCTAAAATTGGAGCAGTGTAACTTGCTTTTTCAGCATTTAATAATTTTGCATAAAAGAAATCTTTGAAAGCTTGATCTTTTTTAAAGAGACCATTTGAGGGCATAGCAGGACCAAATTCAGGGACAGAATCTTTGGAGACGACTGCCATTTTATAGTAACGTTGACCTGGGTCAGATTCGAGTGTGGTGGCTTTAACTAAGAGTACAACGTGAACTTGACGTGAACTAATGGTGGTTGGACGATAAACAGTATCGCCATCTTGGAAAACGATGACAACTATATCATTACCAATGTGACGTTTTCTTTCAAGTTGTTGTTTATCTTTTTCATTGAATGGTAACATACATGATACATGATACATAACTTCGTTATTATTCCAACGTTGATATATTGAGTGTGATCCTGTTGTGCCAGTACGAACATCAAGACCTGCTCTGAAATGTTGCCATCCTTCTAATGGTACACGTTCACCAATAAAATCTAAAAACTCTTCAAATTCTGGACTTGTTTTAACATTTGAAAACATTTCATCCTCTTTATTTTGTCCCTCTTGAGCATATAAAATTCCAAATTTAAATCCTTTAATTGTTTGTTTCTCTTCGAGATTCATAAATGCTTGTGATACTCCGTTATCTGTAATTAATTTTAATCCATTATAATTGCCTATTGATTTTAATATATCATATGGACTTGGACCTGTTCTAAATATTCTTCTCCACCATGATGCTTTAATATTTTCGATTGGTATTTTAACTCTTTGATTACCCTATTTAATAAAAAAATTAAAAAAAATATAAAAAAATTAATATATTTTTGGAGGGAATAAAAATGGGGGGTGAATTGATATGATAATAACGTACTGCTTGTGTTCTGACTAATGCTAAATAATTTTTTCCTTCTTTATCTGTTACAATCGAAATACCTATTGGTCCATTTGGTGATGATGGTGGTGATAAAAAGTTATAATGTTCTAAAAAAAAAAACAAATTAATATTTATAATATAAAAGTTTTTTTTTTTTTTTTTTTAACTACATACGAATATTTAAAAAGTTTTCTCTGTAATAAATTGAATCATTGTCTGAAAGATCAAATACACCTTCTAATAAATTTGGAACATTGCAATCAAAAACTTGAGCTGGTTCTGGACCATTACCTTCAATTAAATATCCTACGGCTGGCGCAATCATTTTTATATATTTATTATTTGATTTTTATAGAGTAATTTTTACAGATATTAAATTGCTTATTATTATAATTTGTTGATCCTGTTTTCTGATTATTATCTATACAGTATAAATTTTAGCAATTCCCAGTTTTTTGGTTTAATTTGTGGGTGTGTTTGTTTGAATTTAAATAAATAACTAATATTATACTAAATTGAATATAATATTTTAAAATTTTAAGTTTCTGTGACTTGACTGTTGTTAAGTTGTAGTTGCTGTTTGAATTTTTGATATTCTTCTACCTTATACATAAATATATATAATTTTTATTGTTGAAAGATTATATATATATAATATTGAGATATTTTTTTTAAAATGAGGGTGTTATACAAATATATATGAAAAAAAGGATTATTATCTAAAATTAGTATGTATGCACACTATATAAACTAATATTATTACTATTATTTTGTGTTATTTTATGAGATATTTTGTTATTTTTGATAAATAAACAAATTTTTTTTTTATATAATATTTTTTATTTATATCAAAAAAAAAAAAAAAAAAAAAAAAGGAAATGGAAAAAAGAAAAAAAAAAGGATAAAAACAACACAATTATATACAAATATATTATATATATGAGATATGATTCGTGGATGAATGTGTTATGTGATGGTGTGTTTTATTTATTGTTTTTTTTTGTTATAAAGAGTTTTTTTTTATTTTTAATTTTTAAAATTTTTTTTTTTTTTCAAAATAAAAGCAGTTTAGCCAAAAAAAATTTGAAAAAATTTAAAAAAAAATTTTTATTTTTTTTTTATTTTTTTTTATTTTTTTTTTTTTATTTTAAAATTAAAATTTTTTTTTTTATATATATAGTCCAATGATTGACAATCACAATATTTTGATTGGCTGGGTGGGGCTTTTTTTCATTCAAAGATTTTAAAAAAAAAAAAAAAAAAAAAACAATAAATAAAAATAAAATAAACAAATTTTTACTATATTATTATTATCATTATAAGTGATTTATGATGTAGGGTAATATGATTTTTTTTTAGTTTTTGTTTTTCTTTGTGTTTGATTATAAATTACACAAATTAAAGCACAAAAGTGATGCTGTTTTTTTTTTTTTTTAAGAATAATTTACCTTTAAAAAAAAAATAATAAAAACCTCTTTTTAACTTGACCTGCTTCTTTTTATATATTATATTTTTTTTTTTTCTTTTCTTCAATTTGTTCGTTTTTATCTATCCTGTTAAATATTTTTTTTTTTTTTATTTTTAATTTTACTATATTACAATTATATTATTACAAACATATATACACTAAAAGGTTATTTTTTTTTTTTTATCCAAAGTAAAGAAAAAGAAGTTAGTTTTTTTTTTTTTTTTTTTTTTATTATCAATTTTAAAACAAAACTATAAAAAATAATAAATGAGGAAAGAGATATGTGAAATTAAAATTTTTAAAAAAAAAATTAAAAGTGATTAAATGGAATGAATTGATTTTTTTTTTTTTATAAAATATTATTAATGATAAAAACAAAAAAAAAAATGATTTAATAAATATATATATATAGTAAGTAAATTTAAGTATTATATTTTTTACTTTATATTAAAAAAACAAACAAAAAAAAAAAAAAAAATAAAATAAAATTTTTGATATAAAAAAAAAAAGAAAATAAAAAATGATATTAAAAACAAATAAAAAATAATAAAAAATTATTGATTGTTATTGTGGGTAAATAAATGTTATAATCGCAGTCACCAAATGTTAACTTAACTGTTCGTATACATGTAATTTATTTTTTAATGTGTATCATATTATTATTAATATTGGTGGTTGTTTTATTTAAATTTTTATTTATTTTTTAAAAAAAATTTAAATAAAAAACAGACACACACATACACACACACACACAAAAGACACAGACATAAACACACACACTGTTACATTTCTATATTACATAGTATATTTAATTATTTTTAATTATTTTATTTAATTTATTTATTTATTTAATTATTTATTTATTTATTTGTTTATTTATTTATTTATTTTTTTATAAAAAAAATATGTAATATGTTAACACACATAAACATACAATTGAAAATAATAATTTATATATTTATTTAAATGAAAAGAGGTTAATAATAAAAAACTAAATTATAGATTGATAAAAATTATACATTAATATTTATAATTATGTTTATTTTATAATAGTATTTATTGGTTTGGTTTAGTTTGATTTGATTTAAATTGGTTTGATTTGATTTGGTTTGGTTTGGTTTGGTTATTGTTTTCTTGCTTTATTATTTTAAAAATATATAATAGCTTAAAAGTATAGTTTTAAATATATTTTACAAGGTTATTTTTTATCAAATATATTTATATTTACAGTTATTAAAAGGTATAGTTTAAAAACAAAATAAAAGGTGAACAAAACCTATTTTTTTTTATTTTTTTTTTTTTTTTATTATAATTATTTTTATTTTAATTAATTTTAATATTTCATCAAAATCAAAATCAAAATAATAATATTAAAAAAATGAATAATATTTAAAAAAAAAGAGATCTGAACCTGATTTTAAGGGTGATCTCTTTTCTTGTTTTTCATTAGTGGGTGAAAAACAAGAAAATTTTTAAATTAAAATTTTTAATATAAATTATTTTTATAATATCAATTTTATTTTATTTAAATTTAAAGTAATGATGATTTATATAGTTTGGACATTTCTAATTTAAAATTTTTACACATTATAAAAAGTCAACCAAAGAGAGACGATAAGATTATGAATATGAGGAAGAGTTATAATTATAAAAAAATTTTAGATCTTTGGTCTATTTTTTTATGACTATGCCTATGGGCACAAAAATTGAGGTTCAATCTATTTAAACATTTATAACTACACATTTTTATATAAAGTATTTTTTTTAAAAAAAAGTTAAAATAAAACTTATTTTATATTTTTTAAAATTTTTTTTTTTTTTTACCGAATTTTATTTTTTCCCATAATACCTCAGACTGAGTTTTTTAAATAAATGGTTTTTTTATGTGTAATTTTCTTTTAGGTTTATGGAGAGTGAAGAAATGAGACATCTTTATTATAAAGAAAGGTGACTATCCTTGTCATTCATTCAAATCTGACTCCTTTTGCTTTACCTCAACCTTTTATAAATAAAAAAATAATAAAAAAAATAAAATAAAGTTGATGTGTTATTGTTTACACTTTAATATATTTTTTTATAAAACATAGAGAACTTTTTTTTTTTTTTTTTTATCTTTTGTTTTTTATTTTTATTTTTTTAGGGTTGATTAGTAATATTTCTTTTTTAATCTAAATATTCAATTTAAGAATAAAGTTATAATATGATTAATAATCATTTGATTTATTTGTTTTATTAATTAATTTTATTTTATTTTGAAAAACTATAAATTGAATTATTTTTTTTGAAATTATTTATTTATATCAAAAATTTATATTTTAAAATAGTATTTTAATAAATAGTTAAAACAAATATTTCTAAACAAAATTATTTTTTTAATTTAATTAAACAATGAAATTCATTTTTATTTTATTAGGTTTATTATTAAGTGTTGCAGTATCATCTGCATCATTATATCCATGTGGTCCACATAGTTGCCCACCAAACCAAGTATGTCGTCAAATTGATAGTGTTTGCAATTGTATTCCAATCAATGATTGTCATGAAGTTACATTGACCTTCAAATTTATTGGCTCCTGGAAAGATGGTTCACGTAATGATAAAGTATATTCCCAATATGATGTTATCATCACCAATAATTTGAACCGTGACATTAAAAATATCTACATTGGCAGTGACTACACTCTTAGACTTCGTGATGGTACTTCAATTTGGAATGTTGTACGTTTACCAAATGGAGTTTTAACTCTTCCATCTTACCAACCATCCATCAATTCTAATGCACAATACACTTTTGGTTTCATTATTGAAGGTACTCAACGTCCAAATTTACAAGTTCTTTCTGTTACATTTTAAAAAAATGTGATTTGAAAAAAAAAAAAAAAAAAACAATAAATAGTAAAAAAATTGTTTTTTCAAATAATAGTTTTTATTAATAAATAAAATCGATTATTTCATTAAAAAAAAAGAAATACTAATAGCCATTTATTTGAAATTATACACACACACAAATTTATTTTTTTTTACTTTTTTCAAAAAAATTAATTATTTTTTTATTTTTTTTTTCATTTTAAAATTTTTTTATTTTTTTAATTTTCATTTTTTAATATTAAATAACATACAATGAACAGTCAAATATTTAAAATTATAAATAAAAATAACCTTATCAAAACTATAAATAATTTTAATAAATGTTATTATTCAACATCAATTAAAAAACCATCAAGTTTTAATAAATCACAAAATATATTCGATAAACCATTAAGAAGAGTATTTTTTAATGTACCAGGCAGCGATAGAAGAAAAATTGACAAAGCCATTGCATTATCAGATAAAATCGACTCAATTGTATTGGATATAGAAGATGGTGTAGCAATTAATAAAAAAGAAGAAGCTAGAGAAATGATTAAGAAATCTGTAGTCGAAGATTCATTTGGTAAAGCAGAATTATTGGTTAGAGTTAATAGTGTCGATAGTGGTTTACTCGAAGCTGACATTGATATGATTGCAAAGATACCAACCTATATCGATGGCATTGTCATTCCAAAAGTAGAGCATCCATACCATTTACATTATATAACATTATTACTCAGAGAGAAATGTGGTGATAAGAATGCCGCCAATTTAAAGTTTATGGCATGTGTCGAATCAGCAATCAGCGTTATCAATTTAAAGGATATTTGTAATTATAGTTTAGGTACCGATACACCATCACAATTAAATGCATTAATATTTGCCTCAGAGGACTATTGTGCAGATACTGGTATCACTCGTACTCCTTCCGCCACCGAGTTGTTATATGCTCGTAGTAGCGTAGTTAATCATGCTGTAGCTCATGGTTTACAGGCTATCGATATGGTTTGCATAAACTATAAAGATCAAGAAGCTCTTAAAAAAGAAACACTTGAAGGTGTCCACTTGGGTTTCCACGGTAAGCAAGCTATTCATCCAAATCAAATCGAAATCATCAACGATTGTTTTAGACCATCATTAGAAAAATTCAGATTTGCATCTAAAATCGTAGAAGAGAACGAAATTCATCAATCACAAGGCAAAGGTGCTTTCGAAATTGATGGTAAGATGATTGATATGCCAATGGTAAAATGGGCTAAAAAAGTATTATCAATTGAAACATTTTATCCACCAAGAGAAGAAGAAGAAGATCAATAAAAATAACAATATTTAATTTACCAATTTTAAATTTTTTTTTTTATATTTTAAATTTTTATTTATTTATTTTTTAAAATCTTGTTTAAAAATAAATTCATTGATTAATGAATTTTTATAGGTTGAATTCTTTTTACAAGAGTTTTCGCATGTATAAATTGATAAAACACCAAAATCAATGTCTATTGTACTCATAAGTTGTTGATCCATACCAAGGAAATAAAGTAATGGAGGAAGAATTTGGAATTCAAATTTACGATTACCACCACAATTTTCGCAACATGGAACTTCTTGGGGATTTTGTTTATCTGTTTCTGAAACCCAAACAATTGGGTAATTTGGATCTCTGCAATATCTTAATACTTGATCTTGGTCCTTTGCTAAAATACGTCTAAAGTAAAGTAATTGTTTATCTTTGATATTTAAAAAGGTTTCGTCGTTGAAGCCACCACTTTTACCAGTTTCGCCTACATAATCTTCAAAGTCTTTAATTGTATCTGGATCGTTGGTTGTAATTTCCTTGGTGATCATTAAGTCTTTACATTGGCTCATCTTAACAACATTTCCATGTTCATCGATTTCAACATCATCTGCATCATCATCTTCATGCTCTTCCTCGTCGTCCTCATCATCTTGGTCTGCACCACTGGCACCACTTGATGATCCATAATTATGATACATTGGGAAATCAAGTAATTCCATTGTTTCGTTTATAAGTTCAAACTCTTTAAAAAGGAAATCTACTTGTTTTTTACTTGGTAATTTATCTGATGGTGTGTCTGGTTTCTCTTTTAATATTTTACATTGTTCACGATGTCCTAAATCCCAATCGGCTTGCTGATGCTCTTTGCAACAATAATTTACTTTTTGACAACCTGCACATTTTGATTTTGAATGTAAACCACAAAACTCACATGTGGTTTGTCTATTTACTAAATATTTCTCTTCGCTGATACTATAACCTTCCTCATATTTTCTTTCTTCTGCATCCTCTGGATAGTATTCGTTAACTTGTTCAAGTTGTGATCTAATTGCTTTATAATAATTACAACCACCATTTTGACAACAAAATATAAATACTGAACGATGATGGCACTCTTTCTTTTCATCCCATGGTGCATAAATTTGTAATAAAAATGACATTTGTTTTGAACATTTTTCACATAATAACTCCTCTCTTTTTGGTATATTACCTAAATCTAACCATGCCTTTAATATTGAATAAATATTAATATATTAAATTAATTATTATATCTATTGCTATAAATTTTATTTTATACTTACTGGTTTACCACCAATTTTATTTGGGAAATAATTACTTGTTAATTCATCTTTATTAATTGGTTCCTCTAAAAAACCCAATACAACATCCATTTATTTATTATTTTTTTTTGTTAGTAACACAAAAATATATTCGTTCGTTTGTTAATATTACGAAAAAAATTTTAAAAAAAATTTTTTAAAAAAAAAAATTTTATTTTTTAATTTTATTTTTTTTCTGTTTATTTTTTAACTGTAACTATCATTATCTATTTGATTTCCTTTACTGTTTTTATTATTTATTTTATTATTCCAAATAAATATGGTAAAATAAATAATAAAAGCAGTAAAGGAAATAGATAGAAATAATGACAAAAAACTATAAAAATAATATTTACAACCACACTACCAGTTTTTTATGCATACCTAGTTGTAAAACAACAGTTTTATTTTTTTTAATATATGTCTCTTTTATTATAATAATTTTTTTTTTTTTTGATATCAAATCAACATGGTTTATATATTATTATTTTAAAAAAAATCTAAAAAAAATTAATTTATTTTGAAAATATTTAAAATAAAAAAAAATTAATAAAAAAAATTATTTTTTTTTCAAAAAATAAATTAAATATTTTAAAAAAAAAAAAAAAAAAAAAATAATTTCACAATTTTCCTAACATAAATATAAAAGAAATAAATAAAAAACTTTATAGTTTATACACTTCTTTTTCGATAATTTATAATTATTTGTGTTTCATTATACCCCACACAATCAAAATCTATTTTTTTTTTTTTATTAATTTTATTTTTATTTTTTTAAATTTAATTTAATTTTATTTGTATTTTTGTATTTTTTTTTTAATTTTTTAAAATTAATACTTCTCTTTTCGAATTACACACATACACCACATATATTAGCAAATAATTGTTTTTATTCATACATAGAACAACAGAAAGAAAATGGATAGTAGTTTAGCAGATAAATCACAAGGTGAAATTATAGAAGAGCTTCAAAGACAGTTAGTAGTTGAAAAAAATAGAAATAAAACTTTAACTGAAGAGATTAAGCATCTTAGGGAACAACATGCTAGAATTGTAAGTATTTTTTTAAAACCATCACAACTTATTATTATTTATTTATTAATTAATTAATTTTTTTTTTTTTTTTAACATTTAGCAAATTGTTACTGAAAATGAAGAAGAATATATTACAAATAAATTTATGAAATATTTAAATCAATTAAAAAAAGAAAAAGAAGAACTTGCCCTTAAAGTAGAACAAGAAGAAGAGTACCTAACCAATACATTACAGAAAAAAATGTTAGCAGTAAGTATAAACTAAATAATATTATTTAATATACAATGGTATTAATGTCATTATATTTTTTAGATAATGAAAGAAAAGGTCGATCTTGAAAATCAATTAGAGCAAGAGGAGGAATTTATTGTTAATAAATTACAAAAGCAAATTCAAGAAGTTATGAAAGATAAAAAGTAAGTTTGTTTGTAATAGTTATAATAATAGCAAAAATTAATCATTTTATTTATTTTATTATTATTATTATTATTATTTAGGGTTTTAGAAAAAAGATTAGAAAATGAAATAAATGATCATAAATATTTATTAAAGTTAGAAGATGAAGTGATCGAATTAAGAGATAAAATTAAAGAATTGGAGAAAGAACAAGGTGAAGGTATTGCAAAGAAAGAGGATATTGATGCATTAAAAGCTGAAAACTTTGTACTTGGTCAAAAAATTATTAGGGAACAAGAAAAACTTTCAAAAGTTAATTCTGAAAATACTAGATTAATGTCAAATTTAGAAATTGATGACGAAAGGTAAAAACAAATATATAGCCATCACAAAAAAAAAAGTATATTAACTCTTTTTTTTTTTATAATTTATATAGAAACTTTAATAAATCTAAAAGAAATAGAAGTATTTCATTTCCAAATGAAAGATTAGCATCTTCAAACTCATCAATATCATCAGCATCATCATCTTCTTCATCTATTTCATCTTTAGCAAACAATATTAATACATCACCAACTATCACCACCAGCAGTAGTTGCAGCAGCACATGCAGCAGTAGTAATAATAGCAAAATAGTTGTAAACTCTGTACCAATCACCAGATCAAGATCATCATCATCAAATTCAAATCCATGCTTAGTTAGTAAACTCTTAAAGGAAGGTTGGATGAAGAGAAAATTCCCAGAGGGAAAATTGGAAAAAAGATTCTATGAAATCTCAACTGATGGTGAATTAAAGGAATATATAGACGATGCCAAACAATTATTGGTCCAAAGTATTGATCTCGATACTGTATCAAAAGTTGATATCGTTGCCGATCCACAACACAACGGATATAGCGATTTAGAAATTCACATCTCTCATAGTTCAAAACCAGAAATAGTTATCCTTTCAAACTATACAGAAGAAATTAACGATTGGAAACTTTTAATTTCAGATTTAATACCATCTCCAAAGCATCATTAGTCAATAAAATAAATAATAACAATAACAATAATGACAAAATATAAAAATACAATTTTCATCATTTTTATAATCAAATTATATAACCAAAGATTATATAGCCTGTATCTTTAAAAATTATAAAAAAAATAAATACAAGATTAATTATTTTAAAATTTTAATTTTTTTATTTAATAAGTTTAAAAAAAATGATTTTATTTATATAACACCTCATATATTTTAAGTTTGTCACTAGACTTTTGTGTTAAATATTTATATGCCCTATCGATATATTCATTATTATTATTATTATTATCATTATTATTATTATTTTTTAAATAAAAATTATAAAGGTATTTAAATATTTTTGCAATTATGATTTGTTTATCTAAACTAGCGATTGTTACTGTTTGGTCAAATTTGAAGAAAAAGGAATTTAAAATAAAACTTTGATAATATTTGGAGAGAATTTTATATTTTTCTATATCTATTAAATTTTTAAATTTGGAGACTGTGAAATTATAAAATGATTCTTTATCTGTTGGTTCTGATATTATATATCTATGATTCTCATAAATATAATTTATAATTTCTATATTAGATTGGTTAAATAATGTTGAATATTCTATTTTTTTCAAATCGTCATAATTGTTTAAAATAAATTGAATAAAAGAGAAGTTGGGGCTATCAGGGTCCATCGAAAATTCTAAAACCTTGTTAATATCAAATGGTTGTTGTCTGTTATTTTTGATTTGAATTAGTCTTGAAAGTTCTTGGACATCATCTGATACTGTAACAAATAAATCAATATCAATATCAATTTGTGGCTCCTTTTCCATTAAATTTAATATATAGCCAATTTCGTTTAAAGAAACTAAAAGTCTATAGAATTTGTTGAGGTATCCATTTGATGATTTTTGAAGTAAAAATTTGATTATCATTGAAAATAACTTCTCCACCGTAGAGTCTGTGATACATTTAATTGTAAAAGTATCTATTATTGAGTTAATTATTGTTCTTGGGGTTGATCTAAATGCTAAACTTACAAATGGATCACCTGATAAAAATTTTGAAAAAGATATTATATTTAGTGCCGAATAAGAAGGAAATAATTGCATAGCAAGTGTTGTTAGAAGTACCGTTGAAAGCTTATTTGATTTCGAATGCAAAGCAGATATAGTGAAGATAAATGAGTGATTATCATATTTCATTGAAAACTTGTCGTATAATTGATTCATACTAATAATCGAATAAATACTAAAGTTTCTATCGGTGCAATGTAGCATCCTATTATAAATATATTTGAACAAAGGTGATAATGATTGGTGGAGCTTTGTATCTATATGTGTGAATAGAAATTGGGCGAAGCTGTAGTCTATATCAAATGAAGCGGATCCATTTCGGCTTTCTTTGCGATTTTCATTAAGCAATTGAATAATTTCTTCACTAATTTCTGTTATTAAAGGCCCGCTTGGTTTTGATACTGAAAAATTATCTATAAGAACCTTTATAAAAAAACCAGCTTTGTCTGGTTGTAATCTCTCTGAATGTGAAAGATATAAAAGATTGGTTGCTATCTTTAATGTATCTTTTGCTGATATTTGATTTATTTTTGATATCTCTCTTCTGAGATGTTCCTCTTCGCTACCTCCTAGATCCAAGATCCTTTTGAAAAAATAGATAAAAGATGAAAGCACTTTGGACTTTAATATTGGTGAAAAGTTCTTATAGTCAGACTCACTTAAATATTCTAACAATGAGCAAACCAAACTAAGGTCCGTTGATTTAAAACTGTGTTCCATGCCATCATCCATAAAAGTGTCCTTTGAAGTTCTATTGATATATTTCAGTGTATCCAAATCACAATTATAAATTGATTTAATAAATGTATTTGAATAAATTGTGGACTTTGGTATTTGAGGTAACTTTTTTCTAAAATAATCTAGTAACTCTAGTGTTTCATATGTGATTATATTGAAATTTAAAATGAAAATTGAATTGTTTTTAATGAAATAGTCAATTTCTGAATTTTCTTTAAAATGAATTAAAAAATCTTTGATATGGTCTTGATATAACTGGTTATTGTTTTTTGTAAAGTTTATTAAACCACTATTATTACTATTACTGATGTTATTTGTTATATTGGAAGATGATAATGGTGAAGCCATATTTATTTTTTTTAAAATATTGTCGATATACCATTGGATTATTTTGAAAGGTAAGGCTATTTTAATTTTTTTTGGATTTAAAACTAAATTTTGTCTAAAAACACCCTTGACTAAAAGAATTGAATCTAAAGTTTTTACATTCAGTTGAACCCATAGGGATGATTTTAAAATAACTTTATCTGATGTTATAATGTTATTGTTATTATTATTTGTATTAATATTACTAGATTTGTTACTATTAGCTGATGTTGGAAGTGGTATTGCTGATTTGTTAGTTGGGCTGTTATGATTATTAAATTGAGAATAATATAAACTTAAGAATTCTGGTATTCTTTCTTGGTTTTTTAGAATGACTTCAACTATATGGCTTTCCTCTATTACACTATTGATATGATATTTAGTTAGCCCGGTATCAATGAATTCCTCTTGAAAATCTTCTTTTTCTTCTTTTTCTTTTTCTTTTATGAGTTGCTCTTGCTTCTTTAGAAGGTATTTAAAACAATTTACACTAAACACTAATAAAATTATTAGTAAAAGAAATGCAATAATTTATATATTGGTTATGACTAAATATAAAACTCTTACCTTTAAATGTATATGACAATACTAAATTATTATTTAAATCTTCTATTGGGTCATCATATTCTAAAAGATATTGAAAATATAAAAAGGTTGATTGAGACTCCTCGACCAAAATTCTTTTTAGTTGTTTCTTTACAGTATATTCATCAACACCACTATTAATTGACTCTAAAGCTGAGGTGATTTTAGACTCTACTTGGTTTGATAAATCATAAAACTCCTCCTCCTCTTTTTTGGATGGCCCATGAGTCTCCATATCATAAACACTAATTTCAATATTTTGAGTATCCTTTTTATTTTTACTGCAGAGTTTAAAAAAAATATCTAGATAAAATTTCAACTCTTTGACTGATCTATCTTTATTACCATCATAGATTTTTAAGAGCATTTCAAATTTGTTTAACTCTATAGCGCCAACACAGCAAAATTCGTTTAATAATCTATACTGGAAATCTATATCACTGAAAATGTTGATAAATTCTTTGAATGCTATTGGTCTGTAATCAATTTGTTGATTGGTGTGATTATTTTTTGATTTGATTTTTTTATTTGGTCTTATTGATAGAGATGATGATTTATTATTTTCCAAATACATTGAAACTTGTGGATGGTTAAAAAATAATTGAACCATATCTTGCTTGTCAGTAATCTTACTATTATAGGTTATACGATAAACCGCATCTGATAAAACATGATTATCTATTACTATTCTATAATTTGTTAGCTGATTTTTTGGATCTAAAACGAATTTAAAAACATCTTGGCTGGAATTCAAAACACTGTAAATTTTCAAAGGACCAAGAGAATCTTTGGGAAACTGATGAAGGATGATACCCAATGCTGTAACATTGCTCTCTTCAATTGCCATTTTTAATAGATCAAATGGAGCTACCTCCTCCTCCTTTTCTTTTATAAACAATGTAAGTAATTCTTTTTCGTACCATTTATTGCAATCTTTTATTAATGCTGTAATTGAGAGCCTGTCCAACTGTAAATATTCTTTTCCTTTTAATTTTGAATAAAGCAGTGAATATAATTTTTTTTCAGTTATAAAATCTAGTTTATATATATTTTTAAATTTAATTTTTCTGATTTCATTTGTTTCTAAAAAATTTATAATTTTATTAAATAGAAATTTATTATGAAAAACTTTAAAAAACAAATCCTCATGATTTTCCATTTTATAATACAAATAATAAATATATATATAATGTGCAAAAAAAAAAATAAAAAACAAATTTGTGTGTGAAGTGTAAAAAAATAAAAAATTTAAAAAATAAATTAAATTTTTTTTTATTTTTAAAAAAAAAATTTTAAAAGAAATTAATTAATTCACAGAAATATTAAAAAAAAAAAGGGCAACTTACATAATAATTCAATTATAATAAATAAATCTTTGTTTGGTAAAAATAAAAAAAATTACCAAAATAAAATTTTATGTTCTCAAAAATATAATTAAAAAAAAAAAAAGTAAATTAAAAGAAAGAGCGAAAGGAAAAGTGTGAAAAAGTAGGCGAAAAAAAGGTGAAGTTTGAAATGGAATATATAAAAAATAAAGGTTATTGAGGTTTTGTTTTGACTGGTTGTGTTTTTATCATAATGTTTTTGTGAGTGTGTGATTTTTAATCGGTAATGGAATATTTATTAAAGTCTAGATTTTTTTTTTTGTTTTTAAGGGGGGAGGGGGAGGGGTGACAAACAATCAAAAATGATCGTAAGTTTTAAATTTATTTAACTTTTTTTTTTTTTCTTTTTTTTTGATTTGATTTGGTTCTATTATAAACTGGATGTTGTTGCTGATATTATTATTACTACTAAACTATTATTATAATATTTTCTAAAAAAAAACTGATGTTTACTATTAATTTTTGAATTTAAAAAATCTCCAAATAAAAACCAATGCAATAAATTCTATTGATATGATGATTGATGGAATATTGAATTTTTAAAATAACTATTGATATTGTACAAGGAAGTTGTTGGTGATGTTACTGATATTGTAGTTTGGATGTTGTTTTTTTTTTTTTTTTTTTTTTTTGGTTGTTTTATAAATTTAAAAAATTGACCAAGTTGACATGACGAAATCTCTAAACCGTTTTTAAACTACTTTGATAAATTATGAATGTGAATTCGATATTTATCATACCGCAAGTGATACTAAAATTAATCTTTTAACATAAAAGATTTTTAATATCTGGGGTAACACAAGTAATTGGTTTGAGAGTTAAGCCATCATTCTTTTGTTGATAGGACTCTTCATTATAGGCTCTACATTGAATTGGATCAATGGTTTTCTTATTATTATTGTTGTTGAAAACAAAATTAACACCGTTGTTGTTGTTGCTGCTGCTGCCGCTATTGTTTTCATTATTATTGATAATAAGATTGAAGTGGTGATTTGATTTCTTGGCGTTGTGATGGCTGCTACTACCTTCATTATCGGATGAGTTTGGTGTAAGTGAGAAGTTATCAAATCTATGCTTCTTGATTGAATTGAAGCCAAATGAGTAAGGTGATGAGCTTGAAGAATCACTATCGGGATGTTGATCATCGCAACAAGAAGAACTATCCTCACTATTTCTCTTTTTGGAAACCTTTGAAAGATTTCTAATGATTTCTTCTTCAACCTCTTGATATGATGGAGATGAAGTTGGTGAAGTTTGAGAACTACTACAAGCGGCTGGGCTATCTTTTGAAATTGAAAGATATAGTCCCTCTCTTGGGCTTATAGAAGATGATGATTGATATGAGGCTTTAGAAGCCAACATTCTTGGTGATAACTTGCTCATGGAGTATGAGTTCATTTCTTCACGATGGCTTGTTGGGTACTTAAGTTGTTGTTGTTGTTGATGATGATGGTGTGATGGTGATTGTGGTGGGTGGAATTGTGATGGTTGTTGGTAATGGTTTTGTGGTGATGGCGGTTGTTGACTATGATGATGATGAGCTGATCCACCATGGTGATTATGATGAATTGGGGCTGAGTGGGCAACATGTTGATATTGTTGGGATTGCTGTGAACCATATCTATGCTCACCCATTTGATTACTGTGATTGTTATAAACAGCATTATTATAATGATTTGGTGAATAATGTTGTGGATAGGAGAGAGGTGATGATGGAGGGCTTTGATTATTATGATATTGATTGTGATATTGTTGTTGCATTATATATGGTTGTTGATTTTGTTGTTGTTGTATTATGTATTGTTGATTTTGTTGCATATAAGATGATTGTCTTTGTTGCATCATATATTGTTGATTTTGTTGTTGATTTTGTGGGATATAAGGTGGTTGTCTTTGTTGTTGTTGATTACCATATTGTTGTTTATTTGATGGTGATGGAGGTTGTTGTGGTTGTTGGTTATTATTTGCTAGATGATGGTGATAATGATTAGGTTGGGTGGTATAGAAACTTGGTGGCTTTGGTGAAGATTTATTTGATTTCTTTTGTAAAATAAAAATTGTGTCCATATTTCTGGTGAATGACAAGTTTGCAGCCATTAAGTTATTCTCAATATCTCTAAGAGAAGTTCCTAATCTTTCATGGTTATGAGCGATCCATTCTGATAATGCAATATTGACCAAGTCAATATGATTTAATGCAACCAAACCATGTAAAGGTGATACACCACTATTAGCACTATTACTATTATTTGAACCACTATTATTTAAACCATTATTACTACTACTATGAATATTGATGTTACCAATACTAACACTGGTACTATTATTATTATTATTATTATTATTATTATTATTATTATTATTATTATTATTATTATTATTATTATTATTATTGTTATTATTATTACCACTAAAAGAATTACTATTTGGTGAAGATGGTATTGAATCACTTGAAGAATTTATGGATGAAGGTGTACTTTGATTTTCTGTATTATATTGAGTAGTTGCCCAATTGATAAAATGTAATGAACTTAATCTTGCTTTTGATTTTTCATTGATTAAAAGACGATAACCTTCATGTTTTTTAGTGAGACGATTAAATCTACCACGAAGTGTTGAAAGATTAACTTGAAATAATGTAGCTAAAGTTCTATCTGGGAAATAAATTGGATCACCTGCCTTATTGCAAAAATATTGAACTGTTGATATTTCATGAGTTTTACTAACTACAATTTCATACTCTTGAACAAATAAATCTTTTGTATCATTATCGTCTATAGGAATACCATTATCCGAACCTGATAATTGGGTGTTTGTTTGTTGTTGTTGTTGTATAGGTGTTGTTGAGGATGTCATTTGTAAGTGGTGGTGCTTTTAATTTGGATATTGTGTGGGGGGTATAATGTAAAAAAAAAAGAAAATAATTTATTTTCTCTTTTTCTTTTTTTTTTTGTTAATTAATTTGATTAAATTGAT